AACCAAAACCTACAATGTAAACAAAGGAGGTTGTAAAAAGGTGGGTATTGGTAGGAGGAGGGGAAACAGCCTCAAGTTGCACCAGGGGAGGTTTAGATTAGATATTAGGAAAAATGTCTTCACCAAAAGGGTTGTCAAGCATTGGAACAGGCTGCCCAGGGAAGTTGTTGAGCCACCATCCCTGGAGGTATTTAAATGACATGATGCTTAGGGACATGGTTTAGTGATGAACTTGGCAGTGCTAGGTTTACAATTGGACTTCATCTTAAAGGTCTTTTCCTACTTAAATGATTCTATGATTCCATGAACCTCACATAACTCGGTGATGTCTGAATAACCCCTGTTACTCTTTGATGTAAGTGTATCTGGTGTTTCAGTGAAAATCACACGTCAAAAAAAACCCCACATCCCCAAGCAGCTTGTGTTTCATGTTTTCCAGCTATTAATTCAGACTCCATTGTGGGAACACAAAAGTAGGCCAACATTGCCCATTGAAGAACCCAGGACTTCAGCCTGTGCTCTCATCCTTGTGGGTCCTTCAAGGAAGGAGGAGTGTTCATGGCTTTCACACTCATATTGATAAGGAGAAAAATTTTGAATTTGTCTGATTAGAACACCAGGAGGGGTAGGATGGTAACAAGTTACCAAACACAAACAACCCATTTCTCATATTAGCATGGAGAGAAACCTCACAGAACATCCCAGAGGCTTCCTGTTTGACAGCTTTTCCCCCCTCTAGCTAATAATTTTGACTTTTCTCCATAGAGTAAGCTGTTCTCCATGCAGTCCTTCCAGAACAAAGCCAGGGAATTCACATGAACATTTTTTCTATGCTTTTGTGATGATTCTGAGCGGATAATGTCTGAAAAATCCTTCCCATGTCAAATACATCTGCAAGGAATGCAGTGCTGTCCTGCCAATCCTATAGACAAGTCAGACTGATGAGCTAAAAATGTCGTTACTACTAATGTCAATCATAAAAAACTTTTATCCTTGTATTAACCTAGTTTTTGTCTTCCAGAACTGAACATCGGCATCACCAAACGGCTGAAGAACACTGAAATCCAGGAGGGAGATGATTGCATTTTTGAGTGTATTTTGTCTCATGAAAGCATTGATGACTTCAACTGGATGCTAAATGGGAGCAAAGTGGAAAGTGGTGGGCGATTTAAAGCCTCTAACATGGGTCGGAAATATACGCTCAGTATCAAAAGCGTGATTCCTGACGATTCTGGGGAAGTAATTTTCACTGCCCGGGGTCTAACTTCCAAGGCTTCTCTGGTTGTGAAAGGTAATGAGATCAGAAAGGTTCTGGGGTTTGATTTCTTGGGTGTCTTTTCATAAGGTATGTCAATAAACCATGAAGGCAAACTCTTGTGATCTAATTGAATAGCAGGCTTCTCTGTGAGCCTTGAAGCACTGAGATTTTTCCTTAAAAACAAGTGAAAGGCTGAAGCTTCTTACAGATATTTGAGAGCTGCAGAATACACTGGGTGGTGTAATTATACAGTCAATTACTACCCAGACTGTGTGCATATGAGACAATCACCCAAGGCTCCCTGGGTAACCCATGGAGAGGAGAAATAGGTAGTTTTCAGGCATGGTTCATCATCCAGTTAGACCTATTAAGGACAAAATAAATTGTTTCATGAAGCCTGTTGCCTGTACTCAGCGGATCACTGCTGGCTGTAGAGCAGCCCTGGCGTGAGTGTCTCTGCCACATATCTCTAGAGCGTAGATGTCCGTATTTAGTGAGATAGATCCCACCATAACTGCACATCTACAGTAACCTCAGTGATGACAAAATGACATCCCCTGAAATGGGACAAGACCTCAGTTCCTCTAAGCAATCATTGATATTGACTGAGAACCCATAGCTTCAATTAGTATGTACTAAAGAGCAATACTGTTTTTTCTCTCCCTTCCCTAACGTAACATGAATCATTTGTTGGGGAATGTGAAAACTTATCATATATTTGAATTGCAAAAACCCCAACCATATAGTGATCATGATTTTTATTCAAAGTTCCCTTTCTCCCCACCCCTCCCCGACTTCTTCAGAAAAACCTACTGAGGTTACGAAACAGCTGGAGGATAAAACATCAGCAGCGGGGCAGGACATCAGCCTGAGCTGCGAATTGTCGAAACCTGACGTGAGCATCAGGTGGTACAAGGATGGCAAAGCAATCCGAAAAAGCCAGAAATATGACTTGCACCAAGAGGGAACACGGGCCATTCTGATCATCCATGACTCCACGGTCAAGGACAGTGGGGAGTATACCTGTGAGACAGAGGTCTCTAAAACGAAAGCCAGGATCACAGTGCAAGGTCAGTTGAAGGATGCATAGGGCTGGCATGTACAGAAGTTGGGGTAAATATCTACAACCTGTGGGAGCTGTTCTCCTATCTCCCTAAACAGGATCAATTTTCAAAAAAATTCATGGATTAAAAGCTTTTAAAAAAACCCTCTGAAAATCACCTTGTAGGTATTGAAGAATCTTATGTGCTCCATAATGAGCCAATAAAAACTGGTAGTTTGAATTAGTCTTTTTTGAACACAGGTGATCAAAACGGTATTCAGTCTGCCAGATAAGGTCTCACCAGCACCTCTACAATGGCATTAAACTTTCCAGGTATCTTCTGGAAATATTTTATCTGATATGCCCTGTGACATGAGGTGGGCCTGGTGATCTTCTCAGATCCTTTCTACCTCTATTTTCTGTGATTCTACAAGTCTGGGCAGAGAGGATTCAAGACCACTCTGTATGCACAGGACTTGTTTGGGTAGCAAATCTCTCTCTCTCTCTCTCTCTCTTCCTTCCAGAAAAACCTAATTATTTTGTCAAGGAACTTTCAGATCTAAAAGTCGATGAAAATGGAACTGCAGTTTTTATGTGCCAGAGTGAGAAAGCTGCACCCTCTGTGGTCTGGAGGAAAGGCATAGCTGAACTCAGAGCTAGCAAGAAATACGAGATGACGCAGAAAGGACAAATCCTGCAGCTGACTATAAATAACTTGGAGAAAAGTGACAGTGACACTTACACCTGCGACATCGGTGATGCCCAGTCCAGAGCCAAGCTCGTTGTGCAAGGTATGCATGAGAGGAGTATGATTGTACGTCCTGTTTCTCCACCAGGAAACATTACATGCACAGGCAGATCTACTTCTAAGCGTACGGGTAGCAGAACCGCTGATTTCTGGCTCTGTGTCACTCATGACGTATATGCCAGAAGCAAAAGGAATAAGGAGCACACAGCTAGTGCACTCTGGGGAGACCCCCCTGCAGTGCCGCGTCCAGCTCTGGAGCCCTCGGCACAGGAGAGACACGGACCTGCTGGAGCGGGGCCAGAGGAGGCCCCAGCAACGCTCCGAGGGCTGGAACAGCTCTGCTGGGAGGACAGGCTGGGAGAGCTGGGGGGGCTCAGCCTGGAGCAGAGAAGGCTCCGGGGAGACCTTCCTGCAGCTGCTGGGGCTGAGAGGGGATGATAAGAGAGATGGGGAAAGATTTTTTGGCAGGGACTGTTGAGATAGGACAAGGGGTAACGGTTTTGAACTAAAAGAAGGGAGATTTACACTAGATAGAAGGAAGACATTTTTGACAATGAGGGTGGTGAAACCCTGTCCCAGGTTGCCCAGAGAGGTGGTGGATGCCCCATCCCTGGGAACACCCCAGGTCAAGTTGGACGGGGCTCTGAGCAACCTGCTGTGGTTGAAGATGTCCCTGCTCACTGCGGGGGGTTGGACTAGATGACCTTTGCAGATCCTTTCCAACCCAAACCATTCTATGATTCTATACACTGTGCAGGACGCGGATAAAAATATAGCAACATGGAACTGGACATGCAGCGCAATTTGTCTATTGGAAGCAATTATACCTGGAGTGCTTTGAGTATGATTTCAAACCCAAAATGCTGATGTGAGGAGAGGCTGGTGTTCCTGTGTGAACATAGGATGGATATGATTCATGGTGCCTGCTATTAGACTAGGGGAAAATTATTCTGCCTCCAGGCTTTTCTCCGTATCTCTTAATGAGTTTTTCCAGTAGTGGTTTCTAAGAGGGGATGGGTGAATGAGTGATCCATTGATCTTTAAGTGCTTAATGTCCCTCTGAACCTTAGAGATGAGTTACATCCTCCAGCTGAAGAGTACAACCCAAGCAGCTTTCATTTGATGCTACAGGCAGTAAATGAGCTGTGGTGGCCAATGCTAACAGCAGGGCAGCGTTTAAGGGGAAGGAGGGAGGTCTGCTTGTTACTGCTCCTCACAGTTCCCCCACTGGAGCCCCGAGCTGAAATTGTTGAAGCCATGAAGAGAATAGGCGGAATGATTCAAGAATAGTCACATGGAGATGTAGTGGCAGGGTCCACTTGTTAATTATTAAAGTTAGTTATTAAAGACTAGGGGATCGAGCCAGACTCCTCCACCTCTGATCATCTGCCAGAGCAGCCTTAAGGAGCAAAGAATTGTGCTTAATCCTCATCATGGCCGCAGGACCTGAGCTACCTGAGTTCAGTGTGTGGTTTCTAACAGCAACTTTTCTGAGTGAAAAAATACTTCTCTGTCACAAAGTTAAAGAAAAAAGTCAAAATTCCCTGTACTGGCTTGGTAAGTAGGAGCAACACCAGGTGTATCTTTGTATAGAGTGACCGTATAAATATTATTTCATTTATTTATTGAGATAAGTGTATATCTATCTATATCTGTACAGACAGGTTTTCAGGGCTGTTTTGTTTCTTTTTACTAATGCTGCAGTCAGACACTCTCTCCACTTCCCACCATGTTTATGGTTGGACTAAGCTCAAAAAAAGTGTGGTCTGGGTGGTCCTGTCCCATAGAAAGCAAGTTATATTTGCTCTAGAAAAACAGAGGGGTTGTCATGGGAGGGGTCATCTGCTCAGTGATGTCTAGAGCCCAGTGGGGCTGTCAGAGCCACATCCTTTCAGCCTTTCCAGGTAGTTCCATTAGGAGAAAGTTTATAACACCAGATTTGCATTGTACTAGCTGCTTGTTCTGCTATATGTGTTCTGGTGCTTTGAAGTTGTCTTCATCCTATATTGGTGTGAGTCCTGTATATATTATCTCCCTGTGTAAAATGGTTTTTGTGTTCAATAACAGGGGAATTGTGCTTCAGTCTTCCATACCATGAACACATTTCTTTCTTGAAATACTCACACGGGAAATCTTGCAGTTTTCCGTATCAATTTTCATGCTAGAAACTGAAGATTCCAGTAATTGATGTATCTATGTTCCTTTCAGGCCAGAAAGTGCTAATAACAGAAGACCTGGAAGATGTCACTGTGGTAGAAGGAGAATCTGCCATGTTCAAATGCAGAATCTCTCCTGTAGACTATAGCAAAGTGCAGTGGTTTTTGGATAAAACCCCACTCCATACCAATGAACTTAATGAGATCCAGTCTCATCCTGGTGGATATCACTTGCTAACGTTGAAAAAACTCTCACTGAAGGACTCGGGGGTCATTACATTTGAAGCTGGTGATAAGAAAACTTCTGCCAGTTTGGTTGTTAAAGGTAATTCAACCATAAAAACCACAGGAGAGGAAAGAATGCATAGAAATAAGCACGGGTTAACATGGGCAGATGAAAAAAAGAACAACAATGCTACAAATTTGGCCCTGTCATACGTATATCTGTATACATTCAAGAAAGCATCACATATATAATGAAGCTAGGGCTGGGGAATGAACACTTTGTAATCCAGGACAACTCTCAGTGTGTTTATTTGACCTTAGATGGGAATGTTATACTGTAGTGATGGTACATGGGATGCCTTGTCCCGTTTCCTTTGAGCAGAGTGGTAGGGTGATGATAAATGAGGAGAAAACAATTAGTTCAAGGAAAAAAAAAAGTGCAACCAGTAAGTTTTTAATTTAGTTTTCATTGTTTGAAAGGCAACATTACACGTGTTCTCTGCTATTCATTGTTGAAAATTAATTGCTTTCTCTGGAAAAGTTAAACGGAGTTAAAAACTGCAGTTAGTCTACTGCTATAGAGAGGGAATAAAACCCATGCCAGACAGCGCAAGATTGCAGGATTAGAGAGGGGTTTTCTTACTAGAAACATAAATATTTCTCATTGTCCAGAGATGTAAAACACACAGTCTCCACTGTGTCAGACCATATTCTCATTCTTTTCAGAATCACCATTTTTCTTGCAAAGAACTTTTTTTCTAAATGTGCCCGAATTTTGCCATGCTACAGAAATTCAAACAGATTTTTTCTGAAGGCAAATGAAAGGTTTTGTTTGCAAAAGGCTAAGTCCTTCTGGTAACACTAATATGTGATGCTATAGTACCAAAACCAGGTTTTGGTCTCCAGATTGATTGGATTTTTATGAATAAAAAAGTATTAAGCTAGGGGGGGTAAGACCTACCTTGGCCAATTTTGCTATTGGTATCTAGCTTAGGCTACTTTTATAAGCTGTGTAGAAAGATAAGTACTTCCAGAGAGCAGTTCATCCTCTCTGTCCTAATGACCTATTGTGGAAGGGAATATCTGGTCTCTGGAGGGTCTGTCATCTTCCAGCGGCTATGGAAATACCCTGCATGACCAATCTGGGCTATATGTTTGGTTTTTAGAGGACTCATACTTGATGAGATGAGACCTGCTCTAGATGTTTGTCTTTGAGAAACCTGTATTGCCCCTCACTTCATGCAGAATTAACTTTTCAACATTCAGTTAGAAGGCTCAAACTAATCAGCTCACATGGAAAAGGGTTTAGGAATATCATGTCTCCATCTTGTTCGTATTTAGCGAGATGTGGGAGATATCTTATTTATGTTCTTCAATGGGGATATTGTCTTCTCGGTTTCTCCCTGATGCATTAGATATTTACAAAACAACATTTATGGCATGACTGGTTGCCTTCCTGAGGGCTTTTTAGCCATGAACACCAAATTATTTGTTAATAACCTTGACCTGTAATTTTGATACAAGTAATCCTGGATGTAAATCTCACAGATTACTTGTGATCTGAAAATCCGCACCTTTTCTGAAAAATCTCAGACGGTTTTTATGTGATTCTAGAGAAGCCCTGCATCTTCACAAAGGAGCTGGTTGATACTGAAGTCACTGAGGGAGAGGATGTGATCCTTCACTGTGAAACCTCCAAATCAGACAGCCCTGTAAAGTGGTGCAAAGACGGGAAGAGCCTTAGGAATTCTTCCAAGTATAACATCAGCCGGTCGGGATTTGAAGCCAAGCTTGTCATTCACAGGGCAGAAGAAGGAGACAGTGGCAGATATGAGTGTGAGGCTGGAGCAGCTAAAAGTAGTGCGGTTATTACTGTCAAGGGTAAGAACATTTGGAATGATCGTTTGGGTCCTAACTTGTCACCTAACAATGAGGTCAGAGTAATAAATTAAAATTATAAAAATGGGAAACTATACTGAAAAGGAACCTCATGAATTTGCAGCGCAGTGCAGGAGAGGTTCTCATCAAGTCATGCGGGACAGCACCCAGAGAGGAGACAGAATGTGAAATAGGAAAATCCTGCATTTTACCCAGTTTTAGCTCTGTGAAAGTTAAGTGCCTGAGTTCTCTAGAGCAGAGTGCAATGGGTCAGCAGAGGAAAGTGGGTGTCTCTGTAGGAGATCTAAGAGATAATCCAGAGAAAGGATGAATCACCTTCTGAAGCTGTCTCCACTGATGGCACTGTCCAAGGAAGGAGCTCACACACGCATATTTGTCTGGGTAATTGCTTTAGGCAGCCAAATTTACTGACAGTGATGCACCCAAAGAGTGTGATCAGGGAGGAGGTGCTATCTAGAGGGTTGTTGTCTGAGCTGAAGCAAAAGTTCTCTTCTTAGACACATGAGACATTAGCGTACTTCCCTGAGCACACTGGATAAGCACCAAGTATGTTAGGTAAGCGTTGGGTCTGAGCCGTGCCAGAACCGGGCTCATCTGCTACCCACGTTATAATCGCTCCCGCCTGTCCTGAGTCACTGCCCCAGCCCGAGGATGAGGAGGAGCTCAGTTTCCATGAGCAAAATCGCTCACTCACACGGGCAGGCTTGAGCAGGTACAGGGAGGTTGCTATGGCACAGGCTGGGTTTAGCTTGACCAGTGGATATCCTGCACACAGCTCTTCTTAACGCCCTTAGGGAGGGCAGGTCGGAAGCTGCGCCTGGATTAGAGAAGTCAGTGCGAACAAAAAGCATTTGGGTCGCTGGAATAGTTAACCTGAACCTCAGAGCACGAAGTGGAAAGGCAAGATGCTCACAGTATTTATCTAGAGCGCAAAGAAACAAGCCAGCTTAGGCTGAGATCTGCTGTGCAGGGCAAGAGAAAACCTTGATGATGTAATGAAAAAGAAATGTGATGGTTAATGGTTCAGATTTGCTACGTCTTTCACTAGTACTAAGATGTTTTCCCACTACCTGTTACACAAAAAAGAAAGGTCTATGTTGACTTTAGTAGGACCTGGATCTCACCCATGATGAAGAGGATTTTTTTCTGTTAGAAAAAAAAGCACTCACAATGAGTGTTAAACAACAGCTCCATTTTTCCCTTCACAAAGAAGGGTGTGGGTAGGTGTAGGATTTAAACACATAGACTCAGATCACCAGTAGACGTGAAGAGTCAAGTCATAAGGATGCCTACAACAAATTGCACTGTTGTAGCTTTCCTTTATCACATCAGAACAGTAGAATGCAAAAATAGCAAAAAAAAAAAAAAAAAGTCGATAGCCATGTGACACTGAGCGTCCCAAACTAGAGGTAAAAGGGGAACAGAAGAATAGGCTGTAGCTTATCAACAGCCACGAGACAACTGCATCATGAATCAGTAGCTGACTTGCACATTTGTAAGACAGCAGATGCCAGGAAGAAATTGTTTTGGGTTTTTTTGTGATCTGAGGTGAAAACACTTCACCTGAGTGTTTTTTTTCCCAGTAAGTGCCTTCTCTACACTGGCTCACCTTAAAGCCTTGAATCCCAGGCTGTGACAGAGCCTGCATAGGAAGCTCCACAGGGAGCCTTTCATGTACAGCTCTGCTTTCCTCTCTGTGTTTGCTCCGTGTTGTTTTTAAGTCTGTATTTATGTCTGATAAAAATACGTTGTGGATTTTTTTTATAATGAGAAATCCATACTGCTGGTAATGGCAGAAAGTGCTTTGCCATTTCTTTGTGTCTTCTGTGTTACGTGGGAGTTGACCTCAGTAAAGCTTTACGTTTTTTGTGCCAGTGGTCCAGCTCTGACCACCCATCTGCAACACTGCAACACACTGTTTGTGTCATTTATAGCAGTGCAGCATCTGCCACTAATGTTAATAATGACAACAGTAATAATATCAACGTCTTCAGCAGTACACATAGTGGTTAACAGGAAAATAAGCATATGGTCTTACATATTTTTTTTTGCTGCTATGGAGTGCTGGCAGCCAGATGTGAGTTGTCAGAATCCGTTTACTGCTTGCTAGTGCTTTTCCATTCCTGTGATTTTCTATCTGAATAACGAAGTCTGAAAGAAAAAGGGAAAAGTGATTTCCAATCTCATGAGTTTCCTTAAACATTTGCAATTTTCTTTTTCAGAAATACCGGTTCTTTTCAAGCAAGAGCTCCAAAATGAAGAAGCTAAAGAAGGAAAACAAGTCAAGCTGACCTGTGAGCTCAGCAAACCTGATGCCCCAGTGAAATGGATGAAAGGAGACACTGTTCTCTATGCCAGTGAGAAGTACGAATTCAGGCAGCATGGTACTGTGGCAGAGCTCATTATTCAGGATGTCAAATCGATAGACTCTGGGGACTATACCTGCAGCACTGGGGAAATGAAGACCACTGCTCGGGTGAAAGTAAATGGTAGGCAGAGTTATGTACGTTGCCACGCTTTCTTAATGCATTGCATAATAGAGCTTCTATTAAACATAACACACAGCACTTTGTGGCAGTGCCATCTACAAACTCATACACCACGTTTAACGGGGAAGTTGCATACTCGTAAGCACCTGTGCGTATTTCACTCCTGCGCTCTCATGTTGTGCGTCTGGGACTTTAAATCCGTAACTTCCCGCTGAGCAGAAAATAAGTAAGTGCAGAGGGTTCATTTCCTATACCCAACGTGCCATGGTTCATTTTCTATACCCTACATGCCATAGTTCTGACCTATCAGCTATTTTACATGGCTGTGATTGAGACTGGAGTGAGGGGCAGACCAGGAGCACTGGAGCACAAGAACATGGCAACATAAGTCCAGTCCCTGGCAAATTGCAGGTGGCCAACTGATGAATGTTTAGACCCCCAAAGTCCCCAAAGCATCCTTTTTAAAGGCTCTCAGATGGCGTCTGCACTCCTCCCCAGTGCCCTTAAACCAACACAGTACCTTTAATGGTATAGCGAAAGTAATATGTGCTGGAGCAGAGAGAAGGGGAGAGAGAGGGCATGAAAAGTGCCTCGGAGCCCTGCAGCAGCAGGGAACTCATTGGTGAGGATGCCCAGAGGGCTCTGATGGGCTCCTTATTAAAGATGAGAGAAACTTCCTCCATACTGCTAGGAATCCACAGTGAGATGACAACATCTGGGGGAGAGATTTCTTCCTGCTCCCAGGCTGAATCATTTTGGTGCTGCACAGCCAAAGGAGGGTCTAGGACTGGTTTTAAAAGGTGACAGCTATCATGGGGCACTTGTACAGCAGGTCAAGAAGGCATGTCCTAATCCCTGGTTCTGTGTTCTAGCTGTGCCTGTCCTTTTTAAACAAGCCCTGGAGAACACAGAAATGGAAGAGGGGAAATCTGTCTCCTTGCGCTGCGAACTCACAAAAGCTGATGCCACCGTGGTGTGGAAGAAGGGAGAAGCCACGCTCCAGGCAAGTGCCAAATATGAAATGAAGCAGAAGGGGACAGTGGCAGAGCTGGTGATTCATAATGCAGAGCCAGAAGATGCGGGAAGATACACCTGTGACACTGGAGACCAGCAGACCACGGCCCAAGTCAAAGTCCATGGTAGGAATAAGACACCTGCTTGTGACCATTTGTTGTTGTTCTTGCCATGGCCCTGCTAGCTCCTGCACATTTATAGTGAGCATGCTGGAACAAAAAGGGATCAGTACAAACAAAAGGCAGCTCTGGCTGGGTCCATTATGTTCTCTGTTTTCTAGGACAATAACTTCGTGCTAAAACATAGCAAACAAATATACCCGATAATAAGGTATCTTTCCTTGCCGCTGAAGTAACGGTGCTGCTTTCTGCTCTGGACAGAGGTGCTTGTCTGAGCTTTAAGCTGGAAGGCGAGAAGGGCCTCAGCTACACAATTTGTTAAAGACTATGCAATTCTCTTCTGTACTTTCTCAGTAAGTTTTTCACGCGTCTGTGACCATCGGCATTTGGGCAGCAGAAGGGTAATTACCTTGATATTCTAATTATTGGGAAATAATTGTTTTGTTTTTATTTCCCCCCAAACTCATGGCATGCTATTGTAAATGCAAGTAGAGTCCTGGAGGTGCAGGTAGATCAGAGCTTATTAGCTGCGCCAAGAGAATTTGTTTTGCTTTTAAGTCCTCTATGAGGTCACCAGTTGGCAACGATGCTCCTAAAGTAAAATGAGAACGCTTCATTCCCCAGCCATCTCTGCGCTCATCGAAGAAGAGCTGAAGAGCGTGGAAGCGGTGGAAGGAGGGACGGCCACCCTGCGATGCCAGCTGAGCAGAGAGGCCCCCGTGGAGTGGAGGAAGGGGCACGCTCTCCTCCGGCCGAGTAACAAGTACCGGATGAGGCAGGAGGGCAGGGTGGCTGAGCTGCTGATCCACGATCTGGACCCAAAAGATGCTGGAGACTATACATGTGTAGTGGGGAACCAAAAAACCACAGCAGCCTTATCAGTGAATGGTAAAAAGTCAGAAATATCCAGTGAAACTCTGGAACGCTTTTGTCCATCTCTTCCCTCCTCCTTTCTGTATATTCCCTCACAACACCTACCTTTACGTCCTGATTCTACTTTTTTCATCATTCCACTTTTCCATGTTGCCACGTCACTCCTTTCCCCAGTCTCCACCCGTGATCAGCTTTTATTATGCCCAATGTGCTGTGTGTGTTGTCTTGTCTTCTCACCTTCCCTCAAGTGAAGGTTGCTGACATGCATGTATGTTTTCCTGAATTATTACGGAAACATAAGATTCCTTGGGAATTTCTGTTAAGGAGGGTTCCATCACCTTTAATGATGAGGATGAGTTTGTCATTTGTATGCATGATCCCAATCAAGATCATGCGTACTTTGATTCCCACAGAACGATTTACTAGAGATTTATTTTTTTTTTTTTTTACCAGCCACAAAAAAAAGCAGGATGTGTTTAAGGATAAGGGTGTTAGCATAAAGCTTAGGTAGTCATATGATAAATCACGATTCAGCCTCTGACCAGAGATCTGGGCAGGGCCTTGGGTTGCAATCCCTTTTCATTCTGCATCTCCCAGCCCTGCCAATCCGTTTCAAAAAAGAGCTGAAGAACGAGGAAGCCACCGAGAGCGGGACGGCCACGCTGCAGTGCGAGCTGAGCCGGGCAGCGGGCTCGGTCGAGTGGAGGAAGGACGGGAAGGTGCTGATGCCAAATGACAAATACAAAATGAGACGGGAAGGGCGTTTTGCTGAGCTGATAATCCAAGACCTAGACTTGACGGATGCTGGGAGCTATACCTGCGTGTGTGGAGACCAGAAGACAACAGCTGCTTTGAGAGTGAATGGTAACCCATGTTCTACCCGTGTTTCTCATTAAGCCCCAAACTTAACATGTTTGACAGCATTTGCTGGTCATCCAAAGCTTGGTGATTTCTTAGAGGTTTCATGTTCTCGGCTCTGTGCTGCCAAAGGGTCACCCTATTAGAGAATACTCCCTTTTTTTTTCTTTGAGACAGCACAGCTATGTTGTATATTGTTTTCTGTAATTCATTTCTCTCAACTGTAGGAGGTTTTATCCCCCTTTCAACTGTGTCCACCTAGAAATAGTACATTTTTGTTTAAACGTATACACTGCGGCCCAGGGACCCACAGCAGAGTCCGGTTCATTTCGATCTAGTGCTGATTCCTTCTCTGTTGGTATTGCATCCTTCAGCCTTGCCTGTCCTCTTCCAAGAAGAAATGTTGAACAAGGAAGCTACAGAGGGGGAGGCAGTCACGTTGCACTGTAAACTCAGCAAATCGGCCCTGGTCGAGTGGAGAAAGGGGCATATGGTCCTCAGACCGAGTGAAAAATACAAAATAGAGCAGGAAGGTCCCTTCGCGGAGCTGATGATCCAGGATTTGGATTTGGCAGACGCTGGTGATTACAGCTGTGTGTGTGGAGACCAACAGACTACGGCTACTTTGACAGTAAATGGTAAAAAGAAATTCTCAGCACATGCCCCAAGCAAACCTGTATAATTCCAAACTCTCTCCTCCTTTTTCTCCTGTTTCATCCAGTCCCAGTACACTTTCTGTCCTCCCCCCGCTGATCAATTTTTCTATCCTGTTTTCCTTCTCTCTCTCTCCTTTCACCCGATGCCCTCTTGATGTGCTATTTGTCTTCCTAGGTGCTATGTTTAAATGACAAGTGGAGTACGGGTCCCCAACTCAACGCAACCTCCTAGGGAGTTGGAGGAGCCAACTCCCAGCCCAGTATAGCTGCTTGTTTAGAAGTTTTCCTACAGGGATTGACCTAAAAGTGGGAACAGTATTTCCTTTTTGTAACTTACACTGTATGTTGCTACTCAAGGACTATCTTAATGAAAAATTGCCTTTTTATTCTCCGGCTATTCCCAGCTGTTTTTTACCAATTTTGGCTTAACTCTTCCAAAGCATATACTTTATCTCTGCAGAAAGCTGACAGCATGTTTGTAACTGCTCTGTTTTAAGGGGCTGTATTTATAAAAATACAGACAGTGCCATGAATCAGACACTTCTGTAGAACTGCTGTTTTTCTGAAAGGAAACAAAATGCTTTGGGTCTCATATTGAAATACAGCCTCTAATTTTCCCCCTTTGGTTTTACGGTTTATAACATAAAGGATAGATGACTTGTCAACTAAGTTTGCAGCTTGACTGACTTGCTTTTAAAGCAAGTTTTAAAGTGTGAGGAGAAAAAAATTAAAAATCAGACTGAAATCTCTTTTGAAATGTTAGAGACTGGAAGATAATCCTGGAGCGTGAAGAAGGTCTTCTGGCTTCAGTGACATGCAGGTTCAGGGAGATAAGTGAAGAGAGTGAGTAGATCGTGGGTCAGGCTTTGATGCCGTGTCCATATTGCATTTACTCTGCAGTCCTGCCTGCTCTTTTCACCAAAGAACTGACAGATGAAGAAGCCACAGAAGGTAAAAGTGTCTCCCTGCACTGTGAGCTGAACAAGGCTGCTGCTAATGTGGAGTGGAAGAAGGGATTCAAGACCCTCAAATCAAGTGACAAGTATAAAATGAAGCGAGAAGGTGTCATTGCTGAGCTTATAATCCAAAATCTAGACACGACGGATGCTGGAAATTATTCCTGTGTGTGCGGAGACCAGCAGACTATGGCAATTTTAACAGTACATGGTAAAACTAACAAAACAAGACACGTGCTAAAAGTAACTATCTTGTTTTCTCTGTTCCGTTGGACAGATGACTGGTTGCCCTACCATCTCCCTCCTTCTGCCAGGCCCTTGTCCACGGCTCACTGGTGCCAAGGAAGTGCTCCTGTTGGCATCTGTGCGGCCAGGGTGCACGGCACGAGAGGGGCATCAGTCTGCACGCTCAGAGAAACAGATAAGCAACCCAGATTGCTGCTGCTGTTTTAATTAGGGTCCATCATTTTGGGTTTTCCCTTGAAAGTTCCTTTATTAGTCTCCCCGTTGTGTTCAGGCCAAGTAAAATGGGTTGCCTTCAAAGGGACTATGACTTAAGGACTTTAAGGTTTCATAAAATTCCCAAAGGTTAGGTTATTCCCTGGAATCTTATTCTAGAATCGTATTAATCCTCCATTCCTGGGACAAAGAGATGCTTTTATACGTACCAGCCAGTTGTCATGGCATTCAGTTGCTCTCCTGTGCAAAGCAAGCCCAAACCTTCTAATGGACAACCGTTCCCAGGGAAAACTTTGATTTTAACTGCAACTGACATGTTTGAAAGGATATGTCAGTTCAGGTGAAAATGCTTGTTTTCCCACCATGTATTGAAATGAATGATTTCATTTCAAACTGATGCTTAGAATGAAACTCCCGTGTTTCATTTTTTTAAAGGACAACGTCTTTTCATTTGCTTAAGAATGTGAAAACATAGCAAACATCCTCCCATTATGATTTAAAACATTATCTAAGAAAAACAATTTTTTTTCAGAAATTTCAAATTAATATTTATTCTTTTTGCTTGAAATTTCCCAGGAAAAAAATTGGGTTTTCTTCTTTTGTCTGTATTGATTTTTGACTCTGAGTGCATGTAAAATATCTCTACAGATTAGTGCAAGCATTGAATCTTTTCCCGGTGATGGCATTTTTTCCTCATACTGACTCATGAAGATTATTGACAATCTATGTTCTTGTATTGATAAATCAGGTCAAGATAAGAGGGAAAAGGACAATTAAACATCAGTGTTTAATTTTAACTCTTTGGAGCATTACATCTCGCTGCTCGTATTGTTGTCCTTCAGCTTTGCCTGCATTTTTCAAAGAAGGATTGAAGAACAGAGAGGCCACAGATGGTGCAACAGCCACTCTGCACTGTGAGCTGAGCAAGGTCGGTGTCCCGGTGGAGTGGAGAAAAGGGGACAAGACACTCAAACCAAGTGATAAGTATAGGATGAGACAAGAAGATACCGCTGCAGAGCTGCTGATCCGAGATCTGGAGGTAGACGATACAGGAGAATATACCTGCGTGTGTGGAGACCAGAAGACCTCAGCTGTCTTGACAGTCCATGGTAAAAAGCCATTCTCCGTTATGATAGCTGCATCTCAGGGAGCTCCCTTTCCTCTGAGAGGTCTCTTTCCCACCTCCTTTGATGTGTCGATTCTGCAGCATTTTCTTGCTCTGCTGGCTGTGTTTCACCCCACTCTCTGTCAGTTTGAAACTGGTGGCTTTATAGCAAAGTAAAGAAGAGCTGTGAGAGTTTCCAATCTTAGTCTTCACTTCTTAAAAGTGAAAAAGGCACCTGTATGTAAGGCCAAAAGTGAGCAGTCACAAAGGCAAGCTTCTTCTCAGAGGTTTTTTCCTTGCATCCCACCAATGTCAGAGATTTCAGTGCTTAACGTGCAGGAATGATATTTAAAAACACTGAGCTCAGTTAGTGAGAGGTTCTCCCATTCAGGAATGAACGACTGTCCTCCTTTGTGGGACTGCGATATACTCTGCTGAGGAAATAGTACTTTCTAAAAAGAAAACCCCAAACCATTATTCTGCAGGTCCTGATTTAGGGAGAAGTGAGAGGGGTTTTGCTCCCATCTCTGCCACGGTGAATAGCGAGAAGCTTTGGTTGCCCCTCCACCAGAGACTGTTCATGTATAATTCCAATAGATGAAAGAATAGTATTTATTTGAGATATGTCTTAAGGATAAGATGCTTCTAAGGACAGGGGTAAAACTGTGGAGGCAAAAGTCTCTTCTCTCAGATTTTCTGCACGCTTTTACTTCCTCTTCTTTCTCCCAGCTGGAGCTTACTCTCCTCCTCTGAGCTGGCACTTTCTTCCCTCTGCAAGTTGCTTCCTTTTTACTTTGGTGGCACATCACAAGGCAACTTGCTGAATGCTGCTAGAAAAAAATCAGTATTCCTGCTATTAGAGACATTATGTCCTTGGACATTATGCCTTAAAGGTGCACTTGAAGTTTTATTACTAATTTTTTTTCTGAACAAGAAAGATAAATTATGGTATCAGGAAAGGTAGAGATCTCCAGCTAGCAGTGCTGTCACCTGGGGCAATGACTTTCAATCAAAAGTCAGGTTGTTAATATTCAAGGTAGATTAATTCAGACTGAAACAGGGAGAGAGGACTACTGGAATCAGCTGGGAAATGATGAGCACGCTACAAAAGTCAGCATTAGAGGCAGGTCATGGTGGCAATTACCCCTGTGAGATCCTGCAGTTTTCTAATAGATGCAGTTTTCAAGAGCATATGATATATTTTCCTGTAATAGTGAAGGACTGGCCTCAGGACCTAGTCTTATGTTCCTCAAGGTCTGGTTAATGTTTTTGATGTCCTCTCTGTTTATATTACATCCCATAGCTTTGCCTGCACTGTTCAAAAAAGAACTTGTCAATATGGAAGCCACAGAAAACGGGACGGCTGTTCTGCAGTGTGAGCTAACTAAAGCCACTCCTGTGGAGTGGAGGAAGGGGCAAAAGGTGCTCAAGCCTAGCGAAAAGTACAAAATGAGACTGAAGGACACAGTTGCTGAGCTGACAATCCATAGCCTGGAGGAACAAGATGCAGGAGATTACGCATGTGTGTGCGGAGACAAGACGACTACTGCATCCCTGACAGTGCATGGTAAAAGACATAAGTTTAACAGGGGTTTTCTGCTTTGTCATCTGTGATCTCATGCAGGATCACAAACTGGTCTCGGTCCCATCTATTGTTTTAAATTGTTATGACAACTCTGTCAACCACTGGGAACATCTTTTACTGAAAGCCCTTCTCTTAGGACTAAGAAATAGCACCATACAGTCTTTTCTTAGTCCTTGTTCTTTCATGTTAATGGATCTGGAAGCAGGTAATGAAGACCTTGGTGAAGTTATAAATAGCACTTTCAGTATTTCCATTAATTAATTTCTCTAGGCATATCACTGAGATTTCACTTGTTTTTCGTGAACGGAATCAAAAGGTGCTCTGTTATGATAACAGCTGAGAAAGGCAGGCGAGAATCATACATTGCAGCCTGGAATTTTAAATAACAGAGTGTTTGTTTTAATTGTTCATCTGATCTTAAGACAGAGCTGTGCATAGTTCCTTGACATCTTGGGATCAGATTTCTGTTGTTATATCTTAAAATGCCTTTAAAATATACCTTCCAGTACTGGAATTATAGTTTTACAACACTGGTTTCCAAATCAGTTGTGACATGCTGACTGCGGTGAGTTGCAAAGCATAAAGCAGGGATGTCCCATTTGCCTCTCAGGTACTGCATAGTCCAAAACTTTTAGAGGTTAAAGGGTTTTGATCCTGTGGAGGAGTCAAGACACAGTATTTCCTCAGTTTTAAAGTGCTCTTTCTTCACCTGTGATCTTCAGCCCTTCCTCCGCATTTCAAAAAAGAGTTGAAGAACGTGGAAGCCACAGAAAATGGCACGGCCACTTTCTGCTGCGAACTGAACAAGCCCGCGGCTGCCGTGGAATGGAGGAAAGGAGACAGAGCCCTGGAGTCAAGAGACAAGTTCGCTATGAGATGCGAGGGCACAGTTGCTGAGCTGGTGATCCGTGATTTGGATCTGGCAGATGCTGGAGATTACACATGCTGTTACGGAGATCAGAGAACCACTGCTGCCTTAAAAGTGAATGGTAAAAAAAAACAAACCCAAAACCCACAAAAAAAACCAATATAGCAAATTAAGTGGATTATTTTCAACCAGCTGGTTTTTTAAGAGCATAGTAGTATCAGCTTTGAAATTGCAGCCCCGTTTCTGATGAATTTAGCAACATGTGGTTGGACATGGGCATAAATGCCTGAATGCACCGGTCAGTATCAGGCACAGATCAGGTGTTCCCTGCAGAATTTTCAGATATTCATCTTGGTACTAACTCATCTCTTTGATACTCATGTTCAGTAGTAGTTGCTAAAAAAGGAAAATCATATTATTGTGATGCTAGTTGTAAAGATGTTACAATCCAAAAGTTGAGAATATTACAATTTGGAGATGGGATATTTTTGATACAGTTTTCAGTGTTTCAGAATAATTTGCTGGTCAAGTTCTGCTAGACCACCACCTGTGGAGAAATCTCATGGAAAAGTGAGATTGATGCCTCAAATATAGTTTCACTTATGAACTTTTTCAGTAATGATTTGCATTGTGATAGAACTTAGACACTAGTTAGGCTTTATTTTCCATTGTGGTAGGCAATACCCAAAGTAAGGTAGGGCTCAGTCTTGCAGAGCCTGAAGAAGTTGAGACTGCTGTGGTTCTCCATTTAGACCATGCCATAAAAGTAGCTCTGACTTATGAATAAGGTGTTTTCCATCTTTTCAAAGTCACTGCTTTACAGTTCTCAGAGTGGTTATCAATCCTACTTGATTAGGGAGGGCTTTGCTTATCACATGTGGTTGACAGACCACAGACGAATTGTTACTTGAATAGCTGCCGTGGTCATACATTCTGCTCATTTTGAACTCCTCAGCCTTGCCTCCACGCTTCACGAAAGAGATGAGGAATGAAGAAGCCACAGAAGGTGGAACAGCCACGCTACAATGTGAGCTATCTAGGGCTGCTTCTGTGGAGTGGAAAAAGAAACACAAAGTGCTCAAATCGAGTGAAAAATATACTATGAGACAGGAAGGTACTGCAGCACAACTACTGATCCATGCTTTAGAAGTCAAGGATGCTGGGGAGTATACCTGTGTGTGTGGAGATGAGAAGACTACTGCAGCACTGACAGTGCATGGTAAAGAAAACAGAAATGAGAAATTTTTGTGTGATGTTTCCCCTGTTCCCTCTGGAAGCCTCAGTACTGACATGCCATGAGTTCCTTCTCTAATCATGCCATCATTAATTCTGTCGGTAACAGAGTTTCTTGATTTTATTGTGATTTTTATCTAATTCAAACTGGAATTGTAGTTCCATTGATTATACTAACATTTTCCCTATGTCACTCTCCTTGCTCTTGTTGGTGCGCGCCTATACTGCTTTGCACCACACTGAAGACCGAAGGATTCCATGCGCTTGCATTTTTTGTTGTTTTACTTACTTTTGACTTCAGCCTAGAGAGATGGAGCAGCAGGAACATTGACACTTCCTAAAAAGAGTAATGTTGGGTTTCAAGTTACATTAGGATTTTCCAGATAATTTTAAATACTGCAAACAAAATTTGATTCAATACATCTTTTTGATATAACTCTGACCTGATCATGTAGATTTGCATTCTGGTCTTGCAGGATACTCAGCATTATAGTGTGAGAGTACGTCACAGTCCTCAGTACAATTCATCTGCAAATTTGGAAGAAACTTTATTTCCACTGTTAACATAAGACAGTAGAAAATAGTTTCACCCGTCTTTCTCAGCTGGAAATTCAGTAGGTCAATGAGTTGATTTCTTTTTGCCACCCAGACTTTTTCATCTTAATATTTACCAAGAAAACAAGGATGGCTTATGTCTTGAACTTCCAATTTAACCACGGAAAATAGAATTAGAAAAGACCTCTACAGGTCATCTAGTCCATCCTTGAGCCCAAGTCACTATCACGCCTACCTGGCCTCACTCCAGTGCTGAAGAATTTGCAGTTCTCCTGGATACTCATTCCACTGCCTAGCCATCAATACTGCCGGAAAGTGCTTCCTAATTTCAATAGAAGTCTGTTTTTTCAGACTGGCTTTCAAGCTGGCTTAAGTCATTACTTCTTGTCCCATATCCTGTAGAAATGGAGAAATATTTGCTATTTTCCTCTCTGTGAAAGATTTGAAAACTTATGTCTCCTTCCTGTCTGCTCTTTTCTGGACCAAGCACCTTTAATCCTTTCGCTCTTCATAGGCCGTGTTTTCTAGACTTCAGCTCATCTTTGTGGCTTTCTGGACCATCTTCAGTTAATCCCCATCTTTCTAGAAGTGGCCAAAAGCAGACTACATTGCTCTACCTGAGGCTTTGCCAGACTGAAGTAGGATGGGAGGACTTCACATGTCTTGCATATGACACTCTTTGCCAGACTGAAGTAGGATGGGAGGACTTCATGTGTCTTGCATATGACACTCCATTTTATATATCCCTATTATGATTTGCTTTATTCACATCAGAATTGCGTTTTTTTACTTGCATTTGCTCCATGATCCCTTGTAACCCCAAATCTCTCTCTGCAGATCTGCTGTGTATTGTTCCCCATCTTGTATTTGTGGCGTTGATTGTTCCTAAATATAGTGTTTTGCACCTGCTCTTGATGAATTGTAGCCTATATTTTCACCACTGCTTCATCAAGATCTTCTGTATCCTAATCTTGTTCAACAAAGTACTTTGAGCTTCTCTCCGTTGACAGCTTGAGATCATCTGCAAAGTTAATGACTGCTCTGTGTTTCATTGTCCAAGTCACTAAAGGAAATGCTAAATAATACTGGGCTCCAGAGCACTGAGGGACTCTGCTCAACTCTTTCTTTCATTGGGAGTAAATCACAGTTGAATATTCATTCTTTGGCTGTGGTTTTCAAACTGGTGATTCCACCTATACCTAAGTTAGGGTAAGAGCTTTACTAAAATAAAAGTGTACAGCATATACTGTGCCTTTCTATCAGTGAAGCTTATTAACCTACATCAAGAAAAATTATACTGGTCCACTTCTTCATGAGGACAAAAGCCCAAGTGCATTGCTACAATATTTTTCAGAGAATTAAAGCTAAGCTGAAATGGACATAATTCCTTGGATCCTTTCCCTGCTGCCCATCTCTTCTTTCCAAGACAAACACTGTGAACAGGATTCAGCTTGTAGATGAAGACTGGTGAGTGTTCCTAAATCCCCGTTGTTGTCAATGGAGACCTAATTAACAAGGTTAATGGGAGACACCCAGTTCACCATATAGCAGATACATTTGATTAGCAGGTAGCTCCATTGGCTCTGTTGACTTTTTATGGATCTTTCTTGACTGTCCTGGGAGCTTAGACTCTTGGTTTACATGGTGAGAACTAAATGTGTGCTTTTCAGTCTGAGATCTTTTCTACCTCTGGGTTTCCATTTTTTCAGTGTTTGTGGAACATCACCCATTCTCTTTGATTTCACCAGTGTAACTGCTAATGTCTGATATTGATTGAGCCTGTACCTTAAGTATTCCAGGACAAATTTCATCACACCAAGGTGCTTTGAGAATATTCAGTTTATTTAAATGTTCTCTAATCCATTTTTTTTCCTTACCCTAGCCAGAATCCCTATTACTTTCATAGCTATCATTAACTTTTAATATTAAAGAAAAAGGTAGTAAAAACTTCAGCTCTCCCCATGTTACCTACCATCAACTTACATTCCTGAAAGTTGGTAGACCAATTTCTTTCTTGTTGTTTTTCTTTATTCTAATCTACCTTCAGAATGTGATTGCATTATTTTTGCTTCTTCTAGTTCAGGCTGGCCAGATTTCCTGGGATTTGCATGTTAATATTCTGGTACATCCAAGAGCCTCAAGTTGAACTGTGAGCAGAGGACACGAAAAGCTCCTGGAATAGTGATCTCACCACCCAGTTGACGGATACAAAAACATACAGCATACAGCTGTGTCTGGAGACATTTAATGTCAGCATCATTTTGCAGATTATCTTTCAGCCCCTCTTTCATGTTTGTCACTTTGTCCATGAGGTGACAGAGTCCAGGAATGGGGAACTGCCCTTGACCTTCTTGAAATATGCAGGGAACCTGGTCTTTTTGGTTTTGCCGCTACATTCTGTAGTATTTCTTTTACGTTCATTTAAACCTCCTGTATTTTATAGGTCTCTTGAGTTTCAGAACATTGAAGAATTTGTGATTTAGGCAGGCTATTCCTGATGATCCTTGGAATGAAGTAGTGTCTCTAATTATGCCCTTAACATTGTTTCTTTGAGAAGTTTTCCACTCTCTTAAACTACCTTGTCCTTTAAATTTGTTTCTGCTTGATCATACGTAATAATTCTTGAATTATTGAAGCTTGCTTCCTAGTTGCCCACAGAAATTCCTTTTGCTCTTCTCCATCATTACTTGTGCTAAAATCCATGAGCTCTCCTACTCCGTAATAGATGTTTGCCCAATTATCCTCCACATCCATATTCTCAAATATTTACTTCTTGCTGGTCAGAGTCCAGAATTGGAGATCCTCCTCTGCTGTTCTTTCATACCTATTCTAAATCCAAAAGTGGTTCTCACCCCATTCCAAAGACTTAGCAGATGATGTCCCATCCTACTGCTCCCCCAGTACATACTGCCACATTACCATCCAGTCTTATGCTCTGAACGATTCTACTAGTTGTTCCAAAAGGGATAGGGTGTTAGGATGCACCTGAACTTCCTAGTGTGAAGGTCTTATAGCAGACTTCCACAATGGAGACATCATCCTTCTTTTTCCTTTTTATTGTTACCCAAGTACTTTCAAGAGGTATCTCTGATTCTGCTCTTCAACCTCATTCTAACTCTTGGGCTAGGTCTGTAGGCATTCTTAACACATAGGTAAAACCTTTTAGTTTTTTTCTTTAGCCTTTTTCCTGACCATGGTGTAATCTGCTATATCAATTTCCCATGCTGAATTATACTGAGAAAATTACAGTTTTGACCACACGTGAAGTTTTCCCTTCCTGCTGTTTATTCTCCATACAACTCTAAACCAATCAGCAAATTTACCCACCGTATAGGACCCGTTTGTGTCTATGATACAAACTAGTATCTTCCTTCTGTGAGATGATCCTCATGTCAATAACTAGGCATGGATACATACTGGTAAACATCAGGTTCATTTTTTTGGTGGCCAAGAACTGCTTATCATGAAAATATTTGCTCCTTTGTTTCTCAGCCCTTCCTGCTCTCTTCAAAGAAGAGTTAAGAAGTGAGGAAGCCGTGGAGGGTGAAGTAGTCACTCTGCGCTGTGAGCTGACCAAAGCTGCTTCAGTGGAGTGGAAGAAAGGACACACAGTACTCAAACCTAGTGAGAAATACAAAATGAGGCAGAAGGATGTCACCGCAGAACTGGTGATCCATAATCTAAATGAGAGCGATGCTGGTGATTATACCTGCGTGTGTGGGGATAAGCAGTCCACAGCTTCCTTAGCAGTACACGGTAATAACCACTTTCATCTAGATGTCCTCGTTATTGAGCTTATGGTTTGCATTCATTTTTCTCCATGTTCATTGTTATCTCTGCATAGTTCCTCTGAGCTTGACTTGTCATAGTCATGAGAATTAATTTGCTTTTTGTGATTTAAGGGAAAAACCTTCACCCCAGTTACATATACAGAGTGGTTTTAGGACTTGATCTGTAAAGTAGGTGTGAGATCAGGCCCAAAGACGGCTCCCCACCGATGCCCTCACCTTTCCTTCCCCCACCTCTACCCTTCACCAGGAGGCTGTGTTTGCTGCTCCATTTTAACCCTCTGTCCATTGCATCCTCAGCGCTGCCTGCACGCTTCAAGGAAAGCCTGAAGGACGAGGAGGCAACAGAAGGTGAAGCGGCCACTCTGCGCTGTGAGCTGACCCAGGTTGCTCAAGTAGAGTGGAGAAAGGGAAGCAGTTTGCTCAAAGTCAGCGACAAATACAAAATGAGACAGGAGGGCACGGTCATGAAACTGCTTATCCGTGACGTAGAATTGAAAGATGCTGGAGAATACACTTGTGTGTGTGGAGAACAGGAGACAACAGCTGCCTTGATAGTGCATGGTAAAAAAGATATACCTAGATCTGTATTATTGTGTATTTCTCTGTCAGCTCATCGCTATTGGTTGTGTGTTCACCTGTGGTTGAATTTGGTTTTTTAAATTTGTAAACTGTCTATACGATCTGATTGCATCCAGGCTGCTTTTCTGTTTCTGTCTGTTGGTTTGTCCAACGTCCCAGAATTATGAGGAAAGGAATTTCTTTCCGCCTTAAAATGTTCTCTGCTTCTGTATCACCCAATCCCTCCCGTCATGTGTGCCACGTGTCATTTTTAACGTCCTCTGTCCATTTTGTGACCTTCAGCCCTGCCTGCACTTTTCAAAGAAGAACTGAAGGACCTGCAGGCCATGGAAAGCCAAACAGCCACTCTGCGCTGCGAGCTGACCAAGGCTGCAGCTGTCTCATGGAAGAAAGGAAACAAAATACTCAGGGCAAGTGAAAAATATATCATGCGGCAGGATAATGCCCTCGCTGAGCTGGAAATCTGTGATCTAGAGCTGCAGGATGCGGGAAATTACACCTGTGTGTGTGGAGACCAACACACCATGGCTTCTCTGACAGTGAATGGTAAATTCATCTTGCAGATGGCTCTTCATTTTTTGTTTCTATGAAACATCCAGTTGCTGTATGCAGTCTTCACCTACCAGCTTTAGGCTTTTTCCTAGGTATTAATTTGTGTTCAGGAAAGGAGAACTTCTTGTTCTGACGTTTAATTTTGGTCTATTATTCCTGAGAAGGGAGCTGAGGACATGACTGCTTCTCCATGCAGACAAACTGCTATGCTGTCTGCTTAAGGGAATAAGTGACTAGGAAATGCTCCCGTTAGACCAGCTGAGATGTCCTTTCCGCATGGAGGATGGCCCTGTGATAAATTCTTTAGGTTGCATCTTGAAACCATCCAGCTTGTTGTACTTTGACCTGTCAGCTCAGCATTTCTTTTCTTAAAGTCAGTGCTGGATTTGTTTTTCCAGATCACCATAGTGATAACCTCAACCTCAATGACTAAAGACCCCGACTTGGCCGGATTTGAACTTCAGTTGAGAATTCATTATGCTGATTGCAAATGCAGAGGTCTTAGTTTAAATACACTATCTATTGACTTTCCATTCCCAGCCCTGCCAGTGCTTTTCAAGGAAGAACTGAAGAATGAAGAAGTCCTAGAAGGAGCATCAGTCTCTCTGCGTTGTGAATTAACAAAAGCAGCTCCAGTGCAGTGGAAAATAGGGTCCAAAGTGCTCAAAGCAAGTGACAAATATCACATGAGACAGCCTGGCACTGCTGCAGAGCTGGTCATTCATGACCTAGAAGTAAAAGATGCTGGAGATTACACGTGTGTTTGTGGTGACCAGAAGACAACAGCAACCTTGACAGTTCATGGTAAAGAGACCTTATTAAAATTAATAAATAGTTCTGTAGATAGACATCGGTCTGAAATTCAGCTACTGGGCCAGTAGCTTGTCTTGTTTTTTTCCCTTTCTCTTCATTCTATGTATAGGTCATTTCTTACTGAGAAAGACTAGCTCAGGGCAAATTTTTGGGTCATTATTAGTCTACCCCCTTTAAAGGGAGAAAATGAGATGTTTCTTTCTGTCTAAGTCCCCTCTTCTTGGTCATTTACATTTTCCAGCTCTTTTTCACCTCCTCGTCCCCATGGTTCACTTCAGCCAACCACAGTTTTCTCCAAAACACACCTGTATGGTCTGTGATGCCCTCTGCTCTCCAAGCACTGCTCAAAGGGGAAGTAAGGAGGAGATGTTTCTGTGCTGGGTGACTTGGCCACAGCTGCTCCTGGGGGTACCAGATTCTTTAAGCAAGTCAGACATGCAGAATGAGTTAAGAACATTTCAGAGCTTGTTATCTCTAACCTAGGTTTGAAGGAGGCAGGGGTCTGTACCTCTGGGTACAGATGCAGGGGATCAAGACTACCTTGACAGTTAGGTATTAAAAAAAAAAAAACTAGCAACACAGGTCATCAGCAGTTATACTCTTCTTTATCCTACTAGCTCCCAATAAACCCATCCAGAAATAAATCCTTGTGCAACATTAATAATCTCATTAACTGATGTTCTGTTCTCATTAATGAGTATCCATTTTAATGGAGTAACAGTCCACAGCTCTAGAGGAACTTACTTGGTCAAAGAGACCCAGTTCTGTCCCCTCCATCTGTTTCCAAAAACTTCTGACCCTCCCTTGGGCTTTCCTGAGACATTGACTTTTTCTGATGTATTTGGGGAACACAGTTTGTATTCTGAGCCCACTTACAGTAGTTGTGCACAAGGCACATTTTTGGGTAAATGATAATAATTAGTTTTCCTGTAAGGTGTTCTGTCATTGGGTTATGATTTGCAAAATGGGGAATAGTAAGAATCTGAAATTCTTATTATACGTAATGGCCCTCCAAACTTCAATTTAAAACTAGAAGTAGCTTTATTTTTAAACCTGTCTGCTTTCATGTAGGTTGGGCTGTAAGCTTTTAGCAAAAACAAACCAGAAAATAACAATACCAGCCTCTAAGAAATCATAGCTGTGTAGGTAAAATAGTACCGTATCCAGCAGTGTTATCTGTGAGTGCTGTTGACTCAAGATCTGGATCTGTCTGTATCGTTCTTTCACCATGAAAAACAACAGACACCCACGGAACTGATCCCTTACGGTACGTGAAACCATGTCACACCTGAAGAAGGATGCTTTCAGAGTTTCTGAACTTGACTATAGATAAACATGTTTATAGTAGGCTGAGAAAGAGATGCATGAGGGGAAATAATCCCAAACATAAAAAAATAAATTAGGATTTTAATTCTGGTTTTCTGATGACTATTTGTCCGTGTTGCATCCTTCAGCTCTGCCACCGCTCTTTAAGGAAGAGCTAAAGAGCAAGGAAGCAGAAGAAGGTGAAGAAGTCGCCCTGTGCTGTGAGCTCACCAAGGCTGCTCCGGTGGAGTGGTGGAAGGACCAGAGGATTCTCAAAGCAAGTGAGAAATACAAAATGAATCAGGAAGGGACCAAGGCAGAGCTGGTGATTCATGAAATAGCTGAGGAGGATGCAGGAGGCTACACCTGTGTGTGCGGAGAGCACCAGACTACAGCTGTCCTAACAGTACAGGGTAAAAATTATTTTGACCTTCTATTTCCCAACTGGAAACATCTGTTCTCTACTAGAAGGTGTTCGATTTTCCGTGCCTGTTTGTTCAACCTTATTAGCTGAAGTTCCATTCATTTGAAATAGTATTCCCTCCCTTTGATGACGTGCAGGCTGTATATACTGGAAAATACCGGTCTATATTTTTCTGTGCCATCCTTTTGTCTCTTCCTGTCCTTAAACACAAGCCTGATATCCTTTCACCTTTCCCTTCTGGCATTCCTTTCCTAGCGTATAAACCCACTATATCTTTCCTTTCCTGCATTTCTTTTCTAAAACACAAATCTATTTATTCTTTAACATTCCTTTCTGGCATTCTCAATGCCTACCACTTTAATGTAGTGTATGATATAATAAGCAGTATCCAGAATGAGGCTGTGTTAATTATAATTTCTTCTGTGCTGAGTTATGTTTATATGGGGTCTTCTGCCCATAACTGCTGTCCTAATGCACAAAGATAGGTTTGCACTGGGAGTCTGATTTTCTAAGGAAGAAAGAATAAATTCTTTCTGTGACCTCCTTCTGGTCTTATTTTGTTGCAAAAATCAGCTGCTGTGCAACCCAAACTGGTGTTTCAGCTTAACACTGCTGGAGGTGGGAAGTGTGCAAAATCAAGGAGGCTAAACCTGGTTTCCAGCCTGGATATTTTAACTTAGTTCAAGTGCTATGGAGTGAGTCGTTAAGTTTGAGATCTGAGCTATTCAGCCTTGTTAAGGAGGTGGAATATCCCATTATCCCACTTAGTTAATAGAGGTACATAAGCCAAGGTCACCAAATTTATTTCAAGGAAATAAAAGTGGGGAAAATATGTTCTGAGACACAAAACCAGGATGGGATTCAGCATCTGGAGATTTTCTCTGGGGTCAAGAGGAATCTGTGAACCATGGCTGTAACTTATCAAGGGCACCTCAAGGAAGAAGGAATGATGATGGGTAAGGAGCTGTACCAACACTCAGAGCTCAGCAGCGCTGCTCTGTAAGTAGGAAAATAGTGTACAAAGGCATGAAATTTGTGGAAGACATCAACACACGTGTGAATCAAGGGGATCAGAGATTATATTCTTAGTTCTTCTTACATGGAAACTAGTAGTAGGCATAAACCTTTTGAGGACAGTGCAATTTTGCTAGTAGGAAGCCAGCATAAAACCAAAGATTTAGGGTATATATTTCCACTCCACTAAGATGGTTTCATTTCTCTTTCCTCTCTTTGTTGCTGATGCTCACCTTTCCATAACTGTCACAACTTTCCCCTGTCACTTCCTACTGTCATCCATCCCTGGAGATATTCTCAGTTTGTAATCCTTTTTACCTGCATCCTTCAGCTGTGCCCCCATTTTTCCAAGAAGAAATGACCAGCAAGGAAGCAACAGAAGGTGGAACGGCCACTTTGCACTGTGAGCTCAGCAAGGCATCTGCCCATGTTCAGTGGAAGAAGGGCCATCATGTCCTCACCTCGGACAACAAGTACAGCATGAGACAGGAAGGCTCTGTTGTGGAGCTGGTAGTTCACGATTTAGACTTGAATGATACTGGAGATTATACCTGTGTGTGCGGAGACAAGACCACCACAGCTGCCCTAACAGTGCATGGTAAAGTAATCCTTGGGACTAAGGTCCTCCAAACCTTAGATCTGCACAAGTCTATTGCTATGGTCTGTTCCCATTCCCTTGCTGTTTGCTTGGGCTGTTGTGTTCCTTTGGAGTTTGCTCATGTTCTTCCTCCTTCTGTTAGAATTGGGAAAAGAGCTGGCTGTTGGTGTTTGTCCTCCCCAGCTGTGTTGGTCCTTCTCACTTTCCTTGCCCTGATGCAGAGTTGAGGGAAGTCAAGGGAGATTTTCCCATTGCATTCCACTGACATGGATCAGGGCTCAGTAGTGCGCCGTGCAACCTCTCCCCCAGGACCTCATCTAGCTGCTTTTTTTAGGAATATTCACTCTCTCTGGTAATTCTTTTACTCTTCAGCACTACCTCCAGAATTCAAAAAAGACCTGAAGGACCTAGAAGCTATAGAAAGTGGGACAGCTGCCCTGCACTGTGAGCTGACTAAACCTGCTGCGGTGGAGTGGAAGAAAGGGCAGGAGGTGCTCAAAGCAAGCAGCAAATATAAAATGAGTCAAGACGGTGCTGTTGCAAAGCTGATTATCCATGAATTGGATGTGGAGGACACTGGAGATTACACCTGTGTGTGTGGAGATCAGCAGACAACTGCCACTTTGACAGTTAATGGTAAAAAAATTTAAAAGAATTTTAAAAATTAAAAAGAGGAGAAAAGGGAAAAAAGTTATACTATATTCTGGGGAAAAAAAGCTGTATGTTAGTGTCACTTATGGAGAATACTTGGCTATGATTCCTAAGGAAGATGTGCAGAATTGCATAGTCTGTACAGCCTAACAGAGTGACCAGGTAGAAAATGGGAATTGCAATGCAGAACTAAATGCATTTTGTCAGGAGGTTACTTTCAGGATAATTGTAATCTCTCCCACAAGTGGCGAGCCTTAAGAGGGAATCTGAACTCTCTACAACTCCCTGCTGACCTTCAGAATATCTCCTCCGTGATCAGGGCAACATGTTGTCTACTTTTATAGTAGGAAAAATATTCTGCCATTTTTAGATCATAAATTACATTAAACTTGTATATACTTTACGGCAGATGTAACTTCTTGAAATCCACTTCTTCTTATTCTGCAGATATTCCTAGTACCTCTCTGGGGAAATAGCCTTGTACTTTGAATGTAGAGCATTGAGGCTTAGAGACATCTGCAAAAAGCTCTTTTGGTGCTTTCATTTTCTTTCTACTTTCTCTAAACTCCAGTTGCAAGTATATTTCTATTTTATAGCCCTACCAGCACTTTTTAAACAAGAGCTTCAGAATACGGAGGCAGAAGAAGGTGGTATGGCAACATTGAGGTGTGAGCTTACCAAACCCAAGGCTCCAGTAGAGTGGAGGAAAGGAGATACTACTCTGTACCCTGGTTTGAAATATGAGATGAAGAAGCAGGGCTCCACTGCTGAATTGCTCATTTATGACTTAGAACTGGATGATTCAGGAAAGTACACCTGTGACTCTGGACATCAGCAGACAACGGCTGTGGTAACCGTACATGGTAGGCAGAGCATGGACCTTTGGCTCAGTAGAGATGAAGTGAAAGGAGCATCTCGCAGTGTTCCCTACAGCCATTTATTTGTTTTGCTGCTGGTCCATGCCAGCATACATATTCTACTTGAGCATGACACATGGTCGTTAGAAAGGATCTGCTTGCAGTACCTGGAGTGATTAATCAGCATCAAACCAATTAAATGTTGTCATGATGTCAAAATATGATGGATGCTCCTGCCCTCTGAGTGCAGGGAGTGTGGCTGCATACGGGAACGGATAACAGAAAATAAGCCAAGCAGGCTTATGGTTATTTTGGGTTGTTGATTGCTTCAGTAGGCATAAGGGATGCCTAATTGGGTGTAATGCCTGATTGGCATGATAGGAGATGCAAAAATTGGTGGATAAAGATTTTCTCTAACACATGAATGTGCTGTATTATTACTTGAGGCTTTGAGCCTCAGGTGTAAATACTGAGTACCTCTGTTTTCCTAGCCCCTTTTACCATCCCGAGCAAGATCTTGCCAAGAATCTGAATTTCCTCTTCCATTTATCACTCTATCGTCATCTCTTACTGCATTGCGTCGTCTTGTGTTCTAAATGTTAATTTGATCTTTTATATGTTGATAGAAGCTTTATTTTGTGGAAGGATACTCTTAGCTTAATATTGCAAACTCACAGACCTCTATGAAGGAACAAAGGTCCATGTCCCGCTGTGTCCCAGTGGTCTTTGACTAAAGCATCCCTAGTTGTCATGGACATAATTCTATTGGAAAGCCTAACTCCTTCAGACTGAAAACCAGGCCATTCTGTGGACTACTCTCTAAGATCAGCTCCCACCATCTGTCCTCAACTCTTGGTTCACGTAATGGCTCAAGAAACGTGCTACCAAGACAGATAGTTGCAGCCCAAGGATTGTGGAATCATTGGAATAGGCCATTTCTGAAGAATGATGGTAGGATTGGGTCCTTTCTGGACTAAAACACTCTGAAAACATTTCCTTCTCAAATTTTGCAGCACTGCCTGTCACATTTAAGCAACCCCTTCAAAATAAGGAATCAGAGGAAGGAAGCACAGCTACATTCTGCTGTGAGCTGTCAAAACCCAATGCTGCAGTGGAATGGAGGAAAGGAGGAGTGGTGCTGCAGCCCAGCCAGAAGTATGAAATGAGGCAGAGGGAAAGCCGGGTAGAGCTCTTAATACATAATCTCAAATTAGAAGATACAGGAGAATACAGCTGTGATACTGGGGATCAGGAAACCAAGGCGTCTTTAAACGTGAAAGGTGGGTAGTGTGAGCTGACTCCTAAAGCAATATATTCCATTCAATATGCAAAGCAACAGTCTGAATAAGAATATTTTTAAGTACGTGGGTTTTTTTCCCTTATAAATATTTTCCTTTTCATCTGATAGACTAGGATTATTTTTTTAATGAGAATGGAAGTGGATGATACTTTGTTCTTCCAGTGCTGCATTTGAGTCTTGGGTTCTAAGAAGAAATACTTTCTGGCTTTATGGCTGGGGAGAAATTAAAGAAAAAGTAAAGCTTTAATATAACATCTGGACACTTCACATGTTATATGGCTTAAATATTTAAACCAAAAATCTTCTTCCAAATCCTGGAAGAACACTGACAATGACCTTCTTGATCTGTCAACACTGTGCATGGAGTTTTCAACTTCTTTACTCTTGAGATATTTGCTAGAACAACTGAAGGATAAATTCATTCAAAGAATTCAGCCCTGAGATGGTTTTGAGTCAAGGAACAAAGGAAATAAATGTTCTAAGTGCTGATGACTGCTTCTGACACAGCAAGATCTCCTCGTAACTCCAGGCAAATTAGAAAACATGGATCCTGTTTAGGAATATAGCACTTGCAAAGCACAGTGTCTTGTTCCCTGAAGTGTCAGTCTAACTGTGTTAAACAGAACTTGACTCAGGCCTCAATAAAAGCTCCTGTTCCTTCTTTTTTTTCCCTTTAGCTCTGCCAGTTCTTTTCAAAAAGGAGCTCAAGGACAAAGAGGCAGAAGAAGGAGCTGCAGTGAAATTCCAGTGTGAGCTGACAAAGGATAATGCCACAGTGGAGTGGAGGAAAGGCACAATGGAGCTCTTCCCATGTGCCAAATATGAAATTAAATTAAGTGGTCGCACAGCTGAACTCGTGATTCATAATGTAGAACCAGAAGATGCCTCTGATTACACATGTGATACAGGAGACCAGCAGAGCACAGCCGTCCTCAGAGTGAATGGTTAGCATTGCATCAAAATGGAACAGAGGATAAAAGGGATTTGTGAAATGATATTCTTTTATTCATTGGTAAATAAGGCACCCCAAAAGTTGGGATAAAGAGGAAAGCAGGTGCCCAGTCATAAACCAGAATACAGAAGAGTGGATCTCCTGGGATAGGATTGTCAAATGGCTATTTAAACCTGTAAAGTAGAGCATGCAGTGTATTGACCCCTTCCTCTGATACTGATAAAAGCAAGAAACTCTGCATCACGGGGATTTGGAAATTCTAGTAGATCTTTATATTTTGCACTTTGCATTCATTGCTGATTCGGTTGAATCAATAACTAATCATAAGTCATTTACAAAAGCATTTAAAAGAATTTACTATTTTCAATTTTTGTAATGCCCTCCCATGGAGATCCTGAGAACATTGTGTTTAAACAAACCAGGAATAATGTCTGTGAGTAACCACCATCTGTGACATGTTTATGGTCATCTCAAACGATGGGTGGAACTTGTGGCTTTGACCTAAGCCACAACCTTTCAAACTACATCCTCTTGGCTGTACTTGACTCATGAAGCAGCCACTGGGTCAAATACAAGTAAATGAGCCCTGTCCTTGCTTTACTTGTATCGCAGTGGGGTTTAGACAGAAGAACCACAAGCACTGTTTTTCCTGTGTTCACAACTGCTCACACACATGCATGATAGATATTCCCTTCTTGTTTTCATCAGTGACAAGCTGTTCCATGCCCTGCTTGAAGAAATGTAGTCCATTTGTGTGTGCATCATCTGGAAGGACTTACTGTTAATGGTCTAGGGTCTTGAAAAGATAGCAGAGAAATCAGAGATGTGTTTAAAGCTTTACATCATTCATGATGTTGGAAGCCATGAGTATTTCTATGAAAATGAACAAATTTACACTAGTTTTAATCAGAAAGTACCAGGTTTTTCTTAGCCAAAATCTTGATGCGTGTTGGAGTTTCCAATATCCAGAGCAGATGTATAAAAGGTGTTATGTGGATGCCCTTGACTTTATGGGAAACAAACACATTTAGGGAACTTTCTGATCCTCTCCTTGTCTGGATATACAGAATATAGGTCTGTTTACAGAGAAAAAAGAGTTTTTATTATCATATAACCACTTAATGCAAATTTGTTCTGCAGCATCAGACCCCAGGTGCCTTGTGCAGAGTTGTCCAGACCTGGCGTTCAAGCTAATGAATTGTGCATTAATTGTTTTTCACTGTGCAGTCATCAAACCCCGGCTGAAGCAGCAGCTGAAGAATGAAGAAGTGGAAGCGGGAGGAACGGCCAGACTGCGCTGTGAGATTTCCATTAGCAAAGCAGAAGTGGAATGGAGGAAAGACGGAGTTGTCCTTCACTCAAGTTCGAAGTACGAAATGTGGCAGGACGGCACCCTCCGTGAGCTGCGCGTCCATCGCTTGGAGCCCAGCGATGCTGGAGAGTATTCCTGCCAGGCTGGAGACGAAACGAGCTCTGCAAAACTCACCGTGAAAGGCAAGACCCATTTATTGGGGCAAGGGGAGTTTCGCTTTGGGATGCTAAGATTTTGCAACATAATTGTGATAAACAATTGTGCTAGACTATTGTGATAAACACGAGCATAGGAAGGGTATCATAAAAAAATCTTATGGTCAATGAATGCACCGAAGGAAAGACTCACTTGGTGGACAGGAGAGGATAAGGCAGCTATAATTTTTAACTCATGGCTTGAAATATTTTCTTGACATCATCTACATGTGAGTGAACAGATGGTCTGTCCCCAGCTTCCAGTCACATGGCAGCTGCATCTGGCCTTAATGTCATTACAGACAGACCTTGCTTTCAGGTTGGACCACTAGCGTGGAACGATCGCCGCTAGCATCTCTACGGGCTACTCAATGTTACAGACGCTCTGTACATTACGCCCAGCTGCACCATTTTTTGTGCAGATGGTGACCTTAGTTGTATGAACATGTGCAGTGTTTGCTCTGGTGAAGATCCCGCTGCTTTTCCTTTGGTGTTCCCCAGCAGACGCGGGGTACACGTAGCTGCTGCCTGTTGCAGGCTGTCTGTATGGTCTTTGCACAGATCTGCAGGTGCCCAGCTGTCCTAGAAGCAGGACTCAAGTGAACCGGAGCATAAATACCCTGTGCTCACGCTAATCCAGTAAGTCCTGCTGAGAGCACAGAGCCAACCAGGTCCCCAGCCAGTTTGGAGCACCAGTACGGAGTATACGCAATTCTGTTTGCAAAAAGATAACAGAGGGGATCAGGTTTTAATGTTATGCTGTAAGGACATCTAAGTGCAAATGTAACAAATTGCAAAATCCTGATTTTGGCATCTGGCATTCATGCCTTATTCACCCAATCACAGTAACAAACATGTAATTAAAAAAAATCAATATGCAACGTATCTCTAAGAAAGGGCAAGTGATAAAACTGAAGGATATCAGCCATGTTAGCAAGTACGCTGAAAGTAGTGAACCAGCAGAGTTTGAAACGTGATTTGAGAGGCTATGCTATCTCCATCCTTGGAGGTACTCAAAGCTCAGGTGGACAAGGTGCTGAGCAACCTGCTGTAAGCTGGTCCTGCTTTGAGCAGTAGTTGGACCAGATGACCTCCAGAAGTCCACTCCAACCATTATTTGATGATTCTGTGATTTGATCCATGTTTTCTCCTTCATGGCTTGACTACTGATGGGCTGTTTGCAGAGCCTGATGTGACCATCGTGAGCGGCCTAAAGGACGTGGTGGTGTTTGAAGGGGACGATGTCACGTTTCGGTGCCAGGTTTCTCATGAGAACGCAAGGGATGTTGAATGGAAGCTACAGGACGTTGCTCTGCAAAATAATGAAATGAATGAGATCTCGGTGGAAAAAGGAAAGATTCACACCCTGACATTAAGGAAGGTGACTGAGCAGGACATTGGCACTATCACTTTCCGAGTGGGACCCCACACGTCGTCAGCAGAGCTCACAGTAAAAGGTAAAGGCTCTCTGTGATGTGGGAGAGGAGAGAGAACAGGTGACATTTTGCTTATGCTAATAGTAAATTCAAGGCCATCATTCACCCCTTGTTAGCTCATGTTGGTAGGGTGTTAGTAGGGTGTTAGTTGTTAGTGTTAGTTAGTTAGTTAGTAATTTTTGTTGCTTCCACTTTCCCTTTTCTTTTTTCCTTTTTCTGCTTTGGAGTCTTTCTGTCTCTAAACACCGTTTTGAGGAAGTTCTCAGTCAAATGTCCTTCTCCTTCTCTCTTTGAAGCTGTTGGCCTGGTCAAAGTCTCCATCCTCCTGAACCAGTTAAAACATCTGTAAAGTTTTTGATTAGTACTTCAGTAATTTCAACAAATATTTGCGAGTGGGTTTCATGCAAAATCCATTCACTCGTTTTAACTCCCCAATATATAACACAGAAGTTAAAGTACTTTTTAATACTTAACTGTTCAGCTGTAGCTTTAACACTGCAGGGAAACAAGATAAAGGTGACTGTAAACGCCTTGGCTGTGTTTGTAATTTCAGTGCCACCTCCAGTCTTTAAGGAGAAATTACAGAGCACAGAACTGCAGGAAGAAGAAACGGCCATCCTCCGCTGCGAGGTCTCCCAGCCTAATGCTGCGGTGGAGTGGAAGAAAGGCACCCAGGTGATCTCCCCGAGCTCCAAGTATGAAATCAGGCAGGAGGGAACAATCCATACTTTAAAGATTTATCACTTAAAACCAGAAGACTCCGGCAAATACACCTGTGATAATGGAAATGAACAAACGACAGCCACTTTAACTGTTAAAGGTAGGTTGTTTGCTGTTTGTTGCACGTCCTTAGCTTAGTGCTAGCAAGAGGGTGCTATCTGCTGTCCTTAACTTCAGGTGTACTTTGCTGGCATAAACCAGCTGAGTCTTTTTGCTTTCATAAGTTGCGTTAAGTCCTGTGGTGTCCTGAGCAATGATCATGGAAGGACCCAAGTGCAAGAAGTGCTTCCACAATCCTAGACCTAAGGGCCTCTTTCACTCAGAAAACCCAGGCTGGAACTAAAATTAGAATGAGACCATTTTTGATGTCTAACCATCCTTTGAACTGTAGTTCCACATGGGAAAATGGTGCTCAAGAGTCAAAGCGCTCAAACTCATTTGGGCACTCGGCTCCAGCTGAGAAGCAAGGCACCTAAATACTTCAAGGGCCTAGCGTCTTAAAAAAAGGTGTAATGTGCCAATATATCAATTTTTTTTACATCTACTCTGGTGCAAATACAATATTAAAGTGACTTTTTCTGAGATACAAGATCAGCAAAAATAAAGAGGAGTCAGGATGTTCCTGTGAAATGCCGTCTTTTGGAATGTCCGCTGAGGGCTCTCCCATGAAAGGCACACACATGCCTGCTATCACAGTAACTCCAGGATTCAGTGATACCAGAATATTTGTACTGTAAGGAGATCCTCTGATGGTAGCTGTTTGTGTCTCTATGTGTGGTCCCAGCCACTCCAACACTCTTTGAAAAAAAACTCCGAAACCAGGAAGCTGAGGAAGGCTCTACGGTCACCCTGCATGCTGAGCTCTCCAAACACGATGCATCGGTGAAGTGGAAAAAAGGGTCAGTCTTGCTCCAAGCCAGCAACAAGTATGAGATGAAGCAGATGGGCTCTGCTGTGGAGCTACTCATCCACGATCTACAGCTGAAGGATGCTGGAGACTATACCTGCGATTCTGGCGATGAGCAAACTATGGCATCCTTGGTAGTGAAAGGTGACAAAAATCTTTCACTTCACCTTTTAGGGGGCTCTAGGTTGCTTTAGATGCTCCACAGGCTGGGGGTGAAGGGATGGAGAGCAGCCCTGCCCAGAAGCACTTGGGGGTCCTGGTGGGTGCAAAGCTGGACGGGAGCCGGCAATGTGCGCTCGCAGCCCAGAAGCCACCCGTGTCCTGGGCTGCCCCCAAAGCCGTGTGGCCAGCAGGGCAAGGGGGGGGATTCTGCCCCTCTGCCCCACTCTGGGGAGACCCCCCTGCAGGGCTGTGTCCAGCTCCGGAGCCCTCGGCACAGGAGAGACATGGACCTGCTGGAGCGGGGCCAGAGGAGACCCCAGCACCGCTCCGAGGGCTGGAACAGCTCTGCTGGGAGGACAGGCTGGGAGAGCTGGGGGGGCTCAGCCTGGAGCAGAGAAGGCTCCGGGGAGACCTTCCTGCAGCCTGCCGGGGCTGAGAGGGGGATGATAAGAGAGATGGGGACAGACTTTTTAGCAGGGCCTGTCGCAATAGAACAAGGGGTGATGGTTTTAAACTAAAAGAGGGCAGATTCAGACTAGACATAAGGAAGAAATGTTTCACAATGAGGCTGGTGAAACCCTGGCACAAGTTGCCCAGAGAGGTGGTAGATGCCCCATCCCTGGAAACATCCCAGGTCAGGCTGGACGGGGCTCTGAGCAACCTGCTGTGGTTGAAGATGTCCCTGCTCACTGCGGGGGGTTGGACTAGTCGGCCTCTAAAGGTCCCTTCCCTTCTATGATTCTATATGTAAGATTCAGGGACACTGTGGCAGAGGCTAGTCCCTTTTTTGATGAGGATTTCTGAATCAACAGTGATGCAGTCTGACAGAGTAGGTCTTCAGAAAGACTTTATTTCTCTTTCCTCATTCCTTTTTTGGCTCCTAAGAGCCCCAGGGCTGCAGGACTTAGCTGCACAATGGGATGCCCTCACTGCAAATGCAACTCTACAAAAGCCTTGACCCCAGCCATTCCCCAGTTGTCCCACAAAGTACGCCATCCACTCCTACATCACCCGCAAGAACTTTCAGGTCTATGTCCTCTTAATACACATCTGTCACCTGGTTCCTGTGAATTCACTTTGATTTCCGGAACCCCATCTCCTTCTCTTCTAAATACCAATTCAGCCTGTGGAGCCACCAAGGATCTTATAGAGAGCTGGGCTTGAGGAACTAAACTTTTACCTGTGGCACTTTGCAAATCAACCCATCAAAACTCTATCTTGACCCATCAGTGATATACATCAGTGCAGAGACTTCCAGAGTTCATGTCTCTTCTGGGTCCATTTCTCAAATGAGGGACATTATATAATTATGATTCTCTATGCTCCCTCCCAAATACCTGAGAACTTAGGAATCAGGTGTAGGCTTTTGAGTTGTGGCCTTGATACCCATTTGGAGATGCATGAACTTAGATTCTGAAGACTCCATATCTATGACCACTTCTGTGTAAGAGGGAACACATTCCCAGAGGTGCTTGGTGTACGCAGTGCCCAGTGACTTTTGGGGAGTGCAGAGTGCTTAGTGCTCCTGGAAATATAGCACTTTCTGTCATTCCTTGTTTGGGTTTTAAAGTAATTTTGGAATTGAGTTTGAACTAAATTTGGAATGGCACCACAATGTCATTAAACACGAGACTTAGTGACACAGCCAGCGATGAAACGTATTTTTTTTCCTCTGATTTATCTTGGTTTAGCTTTGCCAGTAATCTTCACACAACCACTCCAGAACCAGCAAGCTGAAGAAGGCGGCACCATCACTTTGAGCTGTGAAATCTCAAAATCAAATGCCACTGTGCAGTGGAAGAAGGCCGGGACAGTGCTGCGACCAAGTGACAAATACAAGATGCATCAAGCTGGATCCGTGGCTACGCTGACGATTCGCAACCTGAGTGAAGCTGATGCTGGGGAATACATGTGCGACACAGGGGACCAGCAAACCGCTGCAGCCGTGCTCGTGAAAGGTGGGGCTTTGCGTGGGGAAGAGCTGAACAGAACTTGGGGCTATGGCAGGGGCACATGATTAAGTCATTTGTGACTTAAGTCATTAGTCATTACTCATTAAGCTAATCGTTGTCCTGTGCCCAAATTGAATCATGGGGATCTCAGAGGCGAGAGTGATTTCAGATGGATAAGAACTGGGTCAGTTACCTCTAGGGAATCAGAAATGGGTCTTTAGACAATGATTCTGTGGCTTAATGTTAATGTCACCCACTGAAATCTGTTGACAATGTTTTCACAGTAGATAGATTGCATTAGAAATATATATTATGTATTTATTATACACACAATGCAGTAAAACATGCACACTTTATAGAATATCATATATATGTGCGTAATTGCGTAATATATATGCACACATACATACATTATGCATCTGTAAGAATGTAACATGTTACTACATGTCCTTGTAACTACATTTCCATGAATTTAGTGCTTAGTGCTTTGTGGTGGTTTTTTCAAGTAATATAGTACTGTCAAGAAAGAGCATAACAAAATGTTTAACCCAGGAAGCGTCACTTGAAAGTAGATATCAAACTCTGTTGACCTTTCCATAAAGAACCAGCAGTGACCATAGTGGAGACACTGAAGGACGTCACTTTGTATGAAGGAGAAGACGCAGTGTTTGAATGCAGGCTGTCCCGCGAGACAACACAGGATGCCCAGTGGTTCCTGGGGGATGTTCCCCTGCAATCCAATGAAATGAATGAGATCAGAGTCCAAGGGACGTGTCATACTTTGGTCCTGAGGAAGGTGACATTAGAAGACTGTGGGCCCATCAGTTTCAAAATTGGGCAACATACCTCAGCAGCACAGCTAACAGTCCAAGGTGAGCAACCTTCTAGGAAGAGGGATTGAGAAGATACTGGTAAGAACTGCCAACATCGCTTTAGCTCTGGGGAGGTGTATTTGGGAGGAGGGGTCCTTGGAAATTTTGGGAGATTCTGCTAACATAATTCAGGCATTTAGGAGTTAGATACGTACATCTGAGCTAGTCGTTTCAGTCCTTTTTATAGACCATGGAATGAAGCAAACATCCTTTGAAGACCATTCAAGTTATCCTGAAACAAGCAGCTAATATATGTCAGAATCAATGCTGAGCGTCGAGAATATGCTCTGAATTAGTCTCCTACTTGCAATTTTGTTTTAGATCATATTTACTCAAAAAAAGTCTGAAAACTCTGAAAAACCTTTGCCTATAGAATGCTTTTGAAAGAATGGCCATGTCAATACCTTGCCTTGTTTGTTCCTCTTTGATCTGGTTCAAAATGTGACTATAAGCACCCAGTTCTGGCCTGGGGGCAATGCTGGATTAGGCGGTCGCAGCAGTGTTGGTACCCTCTTCCCCACAGTTGCTCCCATCACCTTTGTAAAAGCACTCCACAGCTTGGAGCTACAGGAGGGTGGCACAGCTCACCTGTCCTGTGAGGTGTCTAAACCTGATGTCACGGTGGAGTGGAAGAAAGGCACGTCCGTGATCCGCTCCAGCCAGAAGTGCAGCATCAAGCAGGAGGGGAACGTGCACACGCTGGTCATTCACGATTTGAACCGTGCGGACTCAGGGGAGTATAGCTGCCACACAGCTGACGGGAACACCACCGCCAGACTGGAGGTTAAAGGTATGGCTTCCTGTTTGCTTAACGGTGGCGAGAGGTGCGCATGTCAGTTTTTGGAGCTCTCTAGTACAAGACCGACATTGAGGCAGTGGAGCAAGTGCAGTAGAAGCCACCAAGTTTGTCACGGGGCTGGAGAACATGAAGTATAAGGAGAGGCAGGGGCAGCTGGGTTTTTTCAGTCTGGGGAGGAGAGGGTTGAGGGGGGACCTCGTTGCTGTCTGCAGTTTCCTAACAGAGGTCTACGGAGCAGGAGAGAGACCGACTTTGCTTGGCGTGCTCAGGGAGCAGATGAGAGGCAACAAGTGCAAGCTGCAGCAAAATAAATTAACATTAGGAGAAAAACCCAACTTTTCACAGTGAAGGGTTGATCAGACACTGGAACTGGGACCCACAGGGTTGGAGGAATCTCCATCCATGAAGGACCTCCGGAGGTCCCTTCAGCCTTAATTATTCTGTAATTGATCCCTGGCTGCATGATCTGAAGCCTCAGGTCGGAAGGTGAATATTCTTTGAGTGCTTTTATCCTGTTCTGTGGTTTTATTTTGAGGATGAGAAACCATCTGGGCTTCAGAAGTTATTACTGAAGTTAGTTGGGAATTCTTTCTGAAAAGAAGTCTAGGACATGGGGAGAAAAATGCAGCTCTTGTAGAACTGAAATTTTCCCCGATGGTTAACTCCTTTCCCTCCTCCCCCTCTGTCTGGCTTAGACCTAGGCATCCCTGCCCCTGGCAGCTATCCTTCGGTAAATGCAGCCAGAATTGTGCATGAACTTCATGAATGGCGTTATCAGTACCTTAAAAATAAACCATTTTCTATTCTTGCTTTGCCTGTTTTTCCTCTTTGCACCATTCCCCCTTTCAAGCCCTGCCTGTCCTTTTCAAACACTGGCTGAAAAACGAGGAGGTGGAGGAAGGGTGCACAGCCGTGCTGCACTGCGAGCTGACCAGACCCAACGCACCCGTGGAGTGGAGGAAAGGAGATACGGTGCTGCAGCCAAGTGACAAATATGAGATCCGGCAAGAGGGGACACGTGTTGAGCTCTTCATCTATGATGCTGAGGCTCAGGATGCTGGTGATTATACGTGCGACTCGGGGGATCAGCAGACCACTGCATCATTGCAAGTCAAAGGTAGGAGAAGCCTTGCTTGAAGGCAGAGAAGTTACGGCTGTGGCTGTCCTGCCCAGGGGAGATAAGGAGGTTTTATCACTGAATTATCATTAACACTCTGTATCTGTGAATTACAACTGCAGGAACGGGTTTGATCCGCAGTCTGTTCTTCAAGGAAGAAGCTAGTGCCTTTTAAAGCCAATTCTTCTTCTGCAGTTGCAATTTTAGTCTCACGGTGAGAATCAGGGGCAAAACTGCAGCTGCTGCTAATGGAGGACACGTACAAGAGCATTTACAGAACTTGCCTGCTGCCTGGCAATAAGAGACTCTAGAACAAGTCCATTTTAAATGGAACCTGAGCAGCTCGAGATTTATGGCCCTCTTTCTTTTTCTGGTGGCTACCTTTTTGGACCTTATAGTTTTATTAATTTTATACTTTCATATATTGATTTTCTAGTTTTACTCATTTTGAAGCAATGAGATTATGCTTTTAGATCCTGATTTTAGCCCCCATAACCAGCTCCAGCTCAGAGTGTGTGGTTTCAGCGATTAAATGTCCAAATGCTGTGACTGGTGCTGTTGTGCCTCTCACTGCTTACACTGAAAATTTTGTGTATGCCCACACGAAGCCCCTTAGAGGGGACCTATGGCAATCCTTACAGAGCAGCAGTGGACACCCTCACAGCATCAGCATCTGATCCCCATGAGTGTCTGGCTATGGCACAGCTCAAGGTCGTGTTCTGGGTTTGCCATTGCCAACAGGCAAGCTGTGGTTCAGAAAGATGGGAATTGCCAAGCCAGAGGAGTTGCAAGCAAGTTTCTCACCTCTGAGCATTGTCACTGATGCAGCCGCTTCTCCTCCGCAGTACTACCTGTGCTGTTTAATGAAGAGCTGAAAAATGTAGAGTCTGAAGAAGGGGGAACAGCTGTCTTGCACTGTGAGATCTCCAAGCCGGACGCCCCCGTTGAGTGGAGAAAAGGAGGGGTGGTCATTCAGCCCAGTGACAAGTACGAGATGAAGCTGAAAGGCAGCATTGCTGAGCTGATCATCCATGGTGTAGAGCCTGATGACTGTGGGGATTATACCTGTAGCACTGGATACGAGATCACCACGGGTTCTGTGTATGTGCAAGGTAAGGTGGAATGTGGTGGAAAAGCTCTGATTTTGCTACCTGGATTTCTTATTTTAATATCTTTGACAGTAACTGGCCAAACTTGTCTGAGATACAAACAGTTGAAAGTCCATTCATTTCTCTCCTGATTTCAGTGAAGTTATAAACACTTACATCCAGGCTGAGGTTGAACCAATGCTTGTAAGTTAAGGTAGTTCAAAGTACTGACCGTACTGTGTACCCCAGCAGATGGTGGTACTGCTGAAAATCTATTTGCTCGGAGCAATGGTCATAAAAAATATGGAAATTCTTGTTATTATTGATTACAGCTTCTATCAGTGTTGATATTCTTATTACTCTTTTAAAGCACTGTAAGTAAACGCCCCATTTAAATGTTAAGCTACCTCTGCCTCCCACCTCATAAAATGTCAGTGCAGATGGTTGCAACACACAGGAGAGCCAGTCACGACCTGGTCATGGAGTAGAGCGTCCTCTCAGTGAAGCAGTGTTTGCAGACACACACACTGCGCTTGCAAGCGGGTGAAGGATGGAAGGTGGTGTTTCAATTCCTTAAAGAAAGTTTAAGCTTTTTCACTGGAACAGCATTACAAGTTTAACTCTCCTGGACAACTTGCACTGTTGCTTGGGCTCGCTCTGCAGGAAGGGACATGTACGTGTTTATGCTTTTGTTTTCCTTTGGCACCTTCTCTTGCTCTGTTATACAGAAGAAGCAGCAGTCATAGTTTCTGGTTTAAAGAACACAGACGTCTTTGTGGGTGAGTCGGCCACGTTCACCTGTGAGCTCTCGCACCCGGGCGTGAAGAACGTGCAGTGGTGGCTCGATGGATCTCCCCTTCACAACAACTTTGTGACTGAAATCTCTGAGCAGGACGGGATGATCCACACTTTAACCCTAAATGACGTGGCGTGCCATGACTCAGGCACTGTCACCTTCAGAGCTGGGTCCCTTATATCGTCAGCTAAATTATTAGTCAAAGGTATTTCATCGTTAGAAAGAAACACATGGCCACCTCTGGACTTGCTCAGTGTGCTAGTGCTTCTGCCTTCTAGGCTACCCTTACTAAATCCCTTCACAGTTCTTCTGTGTCATGTAACCCTCCACTTCTGCGAGTCACCCATATTCACACCAGAAGTCTTACAGGTACGACCACATCGATTTTGTTCAGGTGAGGAGATGTTGCAGGGTCAGAGCTGCTGCTTTCACCTGACATCTAAGTAGAGCTGAACCACTGTGGTAGCACCTGATTATTTTTTTTTTATCCTCCCCTTCAACTGTTTTTATAATACCACAAAATATAAGGTAGCTGGAAATTCACAAAATTACCACTGTGCTGCTCCATAGCTAGGCTACCGGTGCTGAGTTCAGTACATTCCCAAGACAAGATTTTGGGCTGTTATATTGGTGGCTCCAGAGCTCTTCCTGGAAACCAAAGGGTGTATGACTTTGCAGTAACACGGTGACAAAATGATCCTTGTTTGTTGACTGCCAGAATAGTAATGGTCATCACTGCACTAGCAAAGCTTTCTGGTCTGTTGAATAAATATTTTTCTCATTTGGTAAGGGTAGCCACAAGCTGCAAATAACACTGAGCTCCAGACTTGATAAAGCAAGCTCCTTCACATCCAGTCCTTTTATAGCCATTGGGAAAAGTTGTTATTTTTCAGACAAAAGTAACGCTTATGCCTTCCTTGGAAAAGGGATTTGTGTATATGGAGATATAAATGGTTACGAGTTATTAAAATCTACCCCTATGCTATGGCTGTCTCCCGTAACAGGAATGAACCATAATATGGAATTGTAGTCCGTGTAATTCAGAAAATTTAACTCTCTGCAAAGATAAAATGCCAAATCACTTCTTCCTAATATCAGAATGATGCAGCAACAACATAGTGTGCAAACCCCACAAATCCCATGTCCATTTGTATCAATTTTGAGTTTCACATTTTCAGAGACAGAACCTAGTTCTGAGCTTTCTAGGTGAAGAACTCCAGTGGGCCTAAAACATAAATTAAAAATAAATGTGTTAGGTATTCTAGTCAGTCAAAAAAAGGGCTCCTGAAAAGTTTTCATTTCACAGAATCACAGCATCACTCATGTTGGAAGGGACCTCTGGAGATCGTCTAGTCCAACACCACAGCTCATGCTAGTACACATAAGTATGTGGATATCTTGTGCTTCTGTTAAGACAAGATGTCTTTAATGTGAACCTGAATCACAATAGTATATGACTATAATTGGATTAGGATGAGAACACCCCAGTTACACTGTGCTCAATAACACTTGGCTGAATAAGAAAGTAAAACACTAATAAAATTCTAACTGTGCTTGTATTAACCGCCAATTTCATGCGCTTTATTTTGTCCAGAAATTTAAAAATACATCTGTCTTCGAACTAGGTGTATTTCAGTCTATCTAGCTACCCGTGGCTTGTTCTTCATCAGGGAACAAGTTTTCTTTCTCTCTGTTCCCTGTGCCCCATTCTGCCGGCGTAAGGCAGGCTTGTAACTGGATATATTCTATAGTAGGTGAGATCTCACGACAGCTTTTCTTGTTGAGCCTTCACAATGTCATTGCCCTACAACTGCATTCATTCAGTGGCCCAGCGTGATGGCATCTTCATGTATGGGTGGGGGGAAAATGGAAAAGGTTGAAGGAGCTGCCACCTTCTTCTGACCCCCTTGGGCAGGGTGAGAATTACAGGCCCCGGTGTACACGTTGGCTCCTAAGTCCAAAGGAGCTTTCTGCCGTTCTGCATGGGTGAATAGGGCCACCAAGGCCTTAGCCTAGCAGTGGCAAAGAGCAGTGGGGCAGTGGAGCCACGACACCTTCCTCCTCCAAGACCACAGGTGACTTTCGCTGTGAGGAGCACATCTGCATCTTATGAAAGGAGATGGTATTATAGTCCCCAGCTGCACAGATACCTTCTTGCTTCTTCAGTCCTGGTCTAACCAAAACATCTCCATGATCTGCCATTGATGCCTCCTCCGCACAAACACACGTACAGGCACACGGAGTGGTAGAGGAAGCCTTAGAGAGCAGGATCAAGCCTTGGAACAAGTTTCCAAAAGACATGTGCAAAATTATCTTTGCTTCTCAAGGTCTGCTAGTAGCACCCCAAATCCTCAACTTGATGCTCCAGTTTCAAGAGGAGCATTCCAGACAGAGGTCCAGTGTCATTTATTCTAGCTGGCTTCTGATAAAAGCAACTGTTTGAAAGATGAGGACATATATCAGCTTTCTCTGACATCTTTTTATGTCCCGTTGTAACCCTATCGATTTTTTGAGGAAGTTGACATAGTTCTGCTGAAAAGTATGTTGCAGAGAGACTTCCATTTTCAGACTTCATTCAGATTTTTCTTTTTAGCATATATATTGCAGTTGTATGCAGGTGGTCCAATTTGACATCTCAAGAGGCACTCCTTGGCTGCTTTGGAAGCTCACAATATTTTGAGGTTAGATATATCTACTGTGCCCTACAACTGCCTCCCAAGAAGCAGAATTAGTATTTTAAAAGAAAGACTGGATGATTAAAAGCAGCCCCATGGATCTCACTTTCTTCAGAGGAGCTGCATATCCAGCTGCTCTCAGCATTTTATGGGCTCTCAATCTGCAATTGCAGTGGTTCCTGCTGCACCTCTAGGTCAGCTGCTGTAAAGGAAATCGTATTATTTTTTCCCCAAACTACATCTCTGCTGCAGAGGAACACATGGTCAGTCAAAACGACAATCTGCAATTGCAGTGGTTCCTGCTGCACCTCTAGGTCAGCTGCTGTAAAGGAAATCGTATTATTTTTCCCCAAACTATATCTCTGCTGCAGAGGAACACATGGTCAATCAAAACGATAAGTACCTATCTCCTGTGAAGTGCCCTTTTTTGTTACAGTTGTCCTGGAACTTTGCTCCTCGTGCTGCCAACGACTCCTGACATACAGCCATCACCACCACTGGGCAGGAATGACTGAGTATTGCATTTGCATTTCTTTCCAATGAGTGGTTGCAGTTTGCTCATACAAGGAGCCTCCAGTAGAGTTTGTAGCATTTTCCTTCCGCTACATGAGGTTGAGAGTTACAGGGAACCGCTCACAGCAGCCCACCCGCTGCAGTCCTCTGTGCTCCTGCCACGTTCTGGGAAGCAGAAGTGTTTCACATCCAGTGCTTCCTAGTCTAGAGGATTTCAGCAATGCTGGGAGAAAAAACTAAGCCTGGAGGGAATCTCAGCAGATGTTCTGCACAGAAGTTCAGATTCAGGGCTGTTAAAGCACGAGCCTTAATTGCTGGTGGCCCATTTTCCAGTGTGATAGTTGTATTGTAACGTACCAGTTTTGCTTCAATCCTGCTTGACGCTGACACAAGCACAGACTAAACTGCTAATCCCCAGCGTGCCCAGTCAGCTTCCTGCTTGCACTGTCGCTCTGCTTGCTCCCCACGAGGCTCTGTGCTTGTCAAAAATCTCCAAGTTGCGATTTCCATGAGGATCCACTAATGCATGTCCTTCCTGACGTGTTGGTTAACAGATCCAACCATTGAAGTGGTCAGTCCCATGCAGGATATAACTGTTGATGAAGATGGCACAGCAGAGTTCATATGCCAATATTCTAGGCCAGTACACGCCATATGGAAGAAAAATGATCAGGAAATACATGCAGATGGGCAGCGAGTGATTATCGATCAGGACTGGAATGTAAGCATGCTAAAAATTAAACCTACGGTACCAGAAGACACTGGCATCTATTCTTGTGAAGCTGAAGGCACTAAAGTGATGGCTGCACTTGATGTTCAAGGTGAGGTCTTCCATCCAAAGAGGAAGACTATCATGGGTTCCAAATAAAAGAGGTGGAAAAATCACAGCAGCACCTCACAATAAGCGACACATCAGATACCTGGTCTCTGGTGTTCACTCCAGTGCTGGTAACGATGGTAAAAGTAGTTGGGAGTTAATGGGAATCGAAAATGAAGCGGCAGCATTTCACTGGAGCTTAGTTCTAATTAACGCCCACTTATTACACCACTTACACATCATACCTCTTCTACAATGAACTGGAGCATCAGCGCAACGGGATGTGTCATGCTGAATTACTGTAAAATCACAGATGTAATATTAGTCCAAAGGAATAATAAGAGTACTTTTTGCTGTTACAAAGTGCTTTTTACACACAGTGTGCCTTAAAACCGGTACCTAATGGATAGCGTGGAATTTCATTTAATGTTCAGCTAAGCTAAGGTAGCTTGGTATTTCACTTATTTCAAATACTGATCACTCAGGAATTTCCTTCTCACTTGGCATCAGCATTTGTGAGGGCCCTGAGAAACAGTAAATAAAAATATCAACAGTAAGTTTAGGATTTTACACTGATGTTTCTTATTTTTTTCTGCTGTGATGAATTTACTGGTTTTGCTCACCAGGTGTGATCAGCAAGAGCAATACTTCTGATTTGATTTCTGAATATTTCTGTTTTGTTAGGCAATTATGCCTTCTCGCTTAACCAGAGTTGTGAGTACAGAAGAGCAGGGTATTATTTATTATAACATTTTCTACACTGATAAGCACTTTCCATTTTAGGGATTTAAAAAGATGTTAATGAACATAAACTAAAAGCACCCCAGAGGAGGTAGGATTTGCATATAGGCTGCTTTTCGTAGTCAGGGAAATCAGCGCTCCAAAAGTGCACAAATAAACAGCTCAGATTTGTTCTAACAAAATTATACATTCTCCAAGGTTTTACAAGCCCCTCATTGTTCTCCATAAGTATGAATATTATAAAATAGAGGTTGTTTTTTTTTAGTAACTCATACTCTTTTTTTTGCTATTAAATAAGTTGTTCGGCGCTTTTTTTTTTCTTAGAACAGTTCCAGATAATGGTTATAAGATCTGAATAAGAATGTCTCAGGGGGTTGGTTTTTATTGTAAATCATGTTGACCATTGTATGGTATCTGTATATACTGTATTTACTCAACCATATGTTCCCACTGTTGTGCATGTAATTTGTCCATGTAGCTGGTCTAACATGAATTATATTCACATGCACCAGCCCACATTTAATTGTGCATCAGGCTGATTGTTTATGTACAAATGCCAACTGATGCATGACTCTGCGGGCAAATGGCGTGTGTAGATACGTGCATGTTTCTGACTACACAATTCACCACACACGCATGAGAAAATAAACCTAATACACTATCACAGAGCTTTTGTAATAATTCAGAAATTTGCTATTCAAAATACTGTTAATACAGATTTTAACTTTTTGTGTGGTTCCTAGAGGCAGACTTCTTAACTCAGCTTTTCCATCTATAATATTCTCTCATATTTGCTTCGTGTGAAAGGTAGTAAGATTTTATTATGAGTTGTCACTGGTTTTACATCTCCCCAGTTATGAAGATATCTGTGCTGCCTGGGAGATCTGTGGGAATCTGGATTGCTGCTGTGGGACAGGAGGAATTTGATTATACTTTATCTTCCCGAGCTAGCCTTTCCTATTGACTATTGGCCTGATTAATATAAACACCAACATGATTTTCTTTACTTGTAAAAACAGAAGTCAGGTTTCTGGAGGAAGCCTAGATGAAATGCTAGAGGTCCTAGAGGTTTATCATTGTTTTCAAACTATCTCACTACGTAAAATGTTTTAAAATACATTATTCTGTTAGGGCATGGTTGAAGTCAACAACTAAACCTACAAGCACTGATTATCACATCCACGCCCTTTCCACCAGCTTTCCAGCAGTGGGAATCATCCAGTGCTCCAAGGCTTGTTAATATTCAGATACGCACGGCCAAACAATTAATACTGTTTGTTGTCCTTCTTTGCTAGCCAAGAACAGCATTGTCCAGGGCTTGGAGAATGTGGAAGCGGTGGAAGGAGGAGAAGCCCTGTTTGAATGCTATCTTTCCAAGCCGGAGTGCTACGATTACAACTGGCTGATTGACGATGAACCTGCCAAAACTACAGAGAACACTGAGATGGTTTACTTTGAAAATGGACGCAGGCATCTTCTGCTGCTGAAGAACCTAACTCCCCAGGACAGTTGCAGGGTGACTTTTATGTGCAGTGATGCAGTGACCTCAGCCTTCCTGACGGTGAAAGGTAACCGAAGCACTTGTGCGTGGAGAGTCTTAAATTTCTGGTTGGAAAGGATAAATGAACCAGGAATAAATGATGAGTAGCAGAGAGGAAAAGTTCATCTGCTGCTTGCTTCTTACCTAAATCTTCTTCCCACACAATAAATAGATGATGTCTTACAATTTCCTTTTTTTCTTGTTCCATATGCCATGGCATGAAGGTAAACAGTATCAGCTGGCAATGAGTTAGCAGCAAATGACTGTCTTACAGTTGTCATTATTCTGATGAGTTGGGTTGTGTTTATAGGTACTTCAGGGCTTTAGAGATAAGAGTTGTATCAGCAACAATATCATCCTTGTATTTTATGCTGTTACTGGAGACCCCTGTGAGGATCAGAACCTCTTTCAGAGTACAAGAACAGCCATCCTCAGTCATAGCATGGTATCTCCATTGTGGTTTTCCGCTACTTGGGAAAGACATTGCTAGGATGGTTTTTGCTCCTGAAAGTTTTGGGAAGTTTCAGTCCCAGATGACACCTTCTGTTCTAGTGATATACATAACCCTCCTGTTAATGATCTCCATGGTCTCCAAGGCCTGACTGCCCAGAGCTTCAGCATAAATATTCACAAAAACTCTTGCTTGTATTTGTTTATGTAACCGAGGGCTTCATTACGTATTTTTGTCTACAGGATGGCGCCTACAGATTTTGCAGCCTCTCACAGATGTGGAAGTGTCTTTGGGGGAGCAAGCTACATTTAGCTGCGTTCTAAGTGAGGCTGTGCCAATTACTGAAGTTGCCTGGTATAATAATGACATAGAAATCCAGTCAGATGAGGACTGGGAGGTACAAGCAGATGGAAACAAATACAAACTTATTCTGAAAAAAGCCCAACCTCATCATTCTGGAGAGGTGACCTTTGCTTCCAGGGAAGCAATTTCATCAGCCAAATTATCTGTGATAGGTAAGTGTCTGTTGTTCTAGCCCAGTGGCACTTCAAATCTCAGACTTTGCTATTGAGATACCATATTGAATTTTCTAATCTTTGTACTGATTCTTTTCTCTTTGCTTGCATGTCCCAAGCTATGTTTTTAGTCTGAGAAGATGCCGTTGGGCAACTTGTTCTTGTGACTGGAAACGGTTCACCTCGTCAGAATAAAATTATATCAGGCTAGTGATGGTAGAGATGTTCACCAGCTTTCCTTAGATGCAGCCTTTTGTAAAATGTAACATAGAATCTAATAGAAATCCATTTACTCAGATTTCAACATCACCCTCAGCAAATGTGGACATGGGAGGGAGCTGAACTAGACTGCATGTGGAAAAATTATCCAGGACGGCAGAGAACCCTTTGAAATCTGCTAATGTTCTCATGTGCAGGGCAACCAGTTTTGCAGATTAATGAGCTGCATATTAAAATCTTGAAGTGGATGAGATCCGAGAAACACCCACCTCGTACTTCAGAGATACAAGAGTGAACAGCTCTTGGAGTAGTTCATAAGTAGAAAGGGTGATAGTAGCCTAATTCCATTGTGGGACAGGTTAGACCAATGACTCATCAATGTCCATTCCAGCACCCAAAGTCTGTCTCCTTCCCACAGTGGGATAGGTGCACCATCCAGCAATGGTCATGGCACCACAATCCAGTGATGGTTATGAGATATTTGCAATGTGTTTTAGCTGTACACTGTATTTGAGATGTTCAAGAGCCACTGATTGACCATCCCTCCTTTAAATTGTTATGGGTAGTCTGTCTGCCTAATGAATTCTGAGACTTTAACAGATCCCTGATATCTTCCACTCATTTCCACAAAATAATTAGCTGTTGATGGATTTAGAACAGTGTTATCTTATTTTGGGCACCTACATTTTAGGAACTGCAAAATACTATCCTAATGAACTCCTCCTGTTGACAGGTTTTCTCTATGAAATTTGGCTGAAAAGAGAGAAAAGGAGCTTATATGTTACGTTGAAAGGAATGTTTGTTGTGTCGAGAATTAAAGAACTGGCTGTTGACCTTATTTGCCTTTAATTTGTTGGACTGGTACATCATGGCAGGTCATTTGCTTGATGCCAGAATTATTTCTGCCTTCTAAGCCAAAGTGTAAATTAGGTGAAGAACATTTTCCAGTGTACTGAGTATGATTGTCAGTAGCCAGTCTGGTAGGACACCACTCCATTCCTATTACGTATTTATTTGTTATTGCGTGATGCTGTGATGTATAAAGCAATTACACAGAAAATTGGGTGACTTGCTATTAAACAATTAGAGTTACTCTGTAGTTCAATGATAACTTGATTTCCATTAAGGTTAGACCTGAAATATGTAAGACCAAAGCCCAAATGTACCTGAAATTTTCAGCTAAGTTCCTTGGCAATACAGACAATATGGGGTCATCGTTAGTTTGAGTTAGGTGGGATAAAGTAGCAAGAAAAAATCACAATAATATGTGATATTAAGTAACTGAGAGGGCAGTTGGAGAATGAATGTTTGCCCATTAGCAGTGTAGTCCAGGACAGATGAAGGAGAACTCAGTGGTGCACAGGTATGTCTCACGGGCATGTACCCACTCAACTTTACAGTAAGACTGAATCTGTTGTCCTTCTTTCTCATTGCTTGTAGAAGGCTCTTGGTTTTTTTAGTACAAAGCATTATTGCTCATGTTGTACATCACAGGACCTCTCTTGTGCCTTCAGCCCACCCTGATCCACCTGAAGAACCAGAAGTTTTAAGTAAGAGCAGTCACTCTGTAACTCTGTCTTGGTACAAGCCGTTGAGTGATGGTGGTTGTGACATCCTAGGCTATAATGTGGAGAGGAAAATCCCGGGTATTGGCTGGCAGTCGTGCAGCAAGGGCATTATTCAAAACACAGAGTTTATGGTGGACAATCTCACCCTGGGTGAACCCTACAGATTCCGCGTCTCGGCTATAAACAAAGTTGGGGCCAGCGAGCCGGTGCACTTCCCTCAGATGGTGCGGCTAGGTGAGAATGGAGAGATGCACCCATGGAGGACTGCAAGCTGCTGTAGACCTTGTGTTTCGCATGGCATGCCTGTTTCACCCGTTCCAGGCATCTCCTGGAAGAGTTCACTCTGCAATGTCTTTCAGTGCTTTGCTGCCAGCACAATAGAGGAGAAGGAGCTTGGAAAAATTGTTCTGGGCTGCCACAAACAAAACCTGCTGCATTATTAGTACTCAACACCCATCTTCTACAAACTGCATCAAGCTGTCTTGCAGCCTGCACTGCATCCATGTGTTGTCCAGTCACCATGGGTTTCTTTTCTGGTGGAGTTAGGATGGAATGGAATGAGTCAAAAGGGGCATGTTGGAATGCATTCGGGGTAACCAAGACCCTGATACCAATGCAGTGGGTGGGCAGTGTTGTCTTCTTCACCCATCTTTCTCTTTTGTTATAATATTCGTGTATCTTTTTCAATGACCACCTCAAAGAAATGCTGGAGGACAGTTCCTTTGCTGTCTGTTGGTGAAACTTTGGAAGCTACAGTGGGATGGAGAGCCGTTCACTCAATCTTTCTTTTCTTCCAACTCTTTCTGTGATAGCCGAGTGCCCAACAAATTCCTTGAAGTAAGAATAATAATAAAAAGTTATTTTTTGCTTAAGGCTCAGACACACAATGATGTTTTTGCAGCATAACAACTGCCAGTGCTGGACCCTGATAACTCTGCATATGCTGACTTTGTCTACAGCAAACCCAAGGCATTTTGGGCAGCGGTCCCCTCACCCTGGTGAAATGTGCAGAGGGGCAGATCACGCTCAGGAGCGTGCTGCTTTTGGGAACTCAGCTGTGTGCTTTACATCCCGGTCAACATCTCCGCGTTTAATGCATTTGTCTTCACTTTGAGTATTGCTGTAGTACAAACAGCATGCCGTTGGCAGGCCTCCTTCCAAAGTAAAGAAGATACAGAGAATTCTTATTTTAAAATTCTTTATGCTTTTTTGAGATTTTTTTACTTTTCCTAAGCTAACGTAAATATATGGTGGTTTTTTTGGTGTTTTTTTTTTTACTTTCAAGACTGGGATGAATGCCGCTTTTAATAATCTTTTTTCTTTTTTATTCATTTTATTGTTTCTTTCTTGTCTCACTTCAGAACTGCTTCACTTCAAAACATTAAGATACAGAATCTGTAGGACTGCTTGAATACTGGTGATGGGTAAATGAAGATCAGCAAATAAACACAGGAATGTGAAAAATGCAACCACTTTTGCATGCATATATTTAAATGGAGCTGGTTTAACCAGAGAGAGCTTGTAAAGTTATTTTGATATTACCTTTGGAAGTGCAAACTTTGGATGCTGCCAGTCTTTTGACCCTTTTTTTTTTTTTTTTCTTTGGTTGTCTACAACAGCTAAAGAATCTATAAGTGAAGGACGGGATGCTTGGATATTTTTTAGTGATCTCAAGTGCCTTAAAGTCAGATTATGATATGTTCTTTCTGTTAATTCACTTTTCTGTAATTACAGAGCCTCCAGTTACAGTCACTCATCCTTTGGTGGGAGGATCAGTCTCAGAAGGGGAGGTGGCTCGCTTGGAGTGCAAATTATCAAGTGAAACTGAAAAGAGAGTAACATGGTTCAAGGGTAAAGAACAAATACAAGCTGGAGGGAGATACGAGATCCTCTCTGATGGAAAAAAGCAGACACTCCTTATTCATGCATTTAAACCTGAAGATCAGGACACATATACCTGCATGGTTTCTCCAGAAGTCAAATCTGTTGCCAGCTTGTGTCTTGAAGGTAGAGTGCATTCCTGTGAGGTTAGATCAGTTCTGTTTATGGAATCCAGGGGCATCTCCACAGCTCGGCCTGGAATTCATTTTCTTTTACAAGCTGTGATAACAATCCACAAAGGATTGCTGTCCTCCTGTTTGGTATTGCCCAGTATGTCTCTCAATCCCTAACAGCTTTGAGCTGCTCAGATAAGGTTTTCCCGAGTCAGATATTTAAGGTGTGATACGGTTGTCTCTACATGGGTTTCTGGTGCCTTTTGAGATGCTTTAGGGTATTCTGCCTGGCCTTCAGCTGCCACTTCCGAAAGTGAGGGCTCCTTCATATGTGCGGCACGGTGTGTGCCAACCGCCTGTCCTAGACATCCCAAACGGCTTTGGGTCGTAGTGTTTATGAAGCTGAATTGTGCCCCTACGGTGGGATTCAGTGGCCCCCACACAGGCATCTAGTGCCATTGAGGCACTTCAGGATATCACCTCTGGCCTCTATCTCCTTCTCCAGAGGGACCCAGAGTGCTCATAGGTCCTGCGCTGTACCTGAGAGCCACATGTGGATGTCCGAGGCAGCTTGGAGCATCTCAGATGGCACTGGGCACTCTGCAGAGGCAAGTCAGTGTGTCCCAGGGGCTGTGTCACAACCTTCAGACTTAGACACATCTAAACCGAAGTATCTACAGGCAGATATCTCTATATGAGGTGGGAGTCTCAGCTCCCATTACAACCAGTGGAGATCTATTCCAGCCAGTCAGTGAAGCCCTGTCTAGCTGTAAAATAGGATGAGCCTGGAATAGCTTTCCAGACTCCACTGACAGTCTTAACCAGATATTGACTGCAACATTCAAGAAGTGCAGAAATTTATTTATTGGGTTCAAATGTGTGAGGAAGAAAACAAAAAAAGTTTTTTGGTCATGTTTTATGCGCATGCATAAAATCACAAGATAGTTGAGGTTGAAAAGGACTTCTGGAGATAGTGTAGTCCACCTGCCCTGCTCAAAGCAGGGTCACCTCAAACAAGTTGCCCAGGACCACATCCAGTTATATTAATTTCACATTATGTTCTCGACAGAACGCTTAGTTAAATGCCACTGATACTCTTCTGCCCAGGTTTTAGAACAACATTTCCATGTGCTTTCTCAGGGCTTACTCACAGACTTGTAACAACTTATCAATTTAATCCTCCTCAGTTCCGACAGTGGCAATGCTAAAAGAGATCGCCAGGGAAGCACCTCCTGCAAGCCAACCAGAGGAGCGGGTGGATGGCCACATCCAGCCCAGCCTGCCTCCTGAGGCTGCTCAGGAGGGAGACCTTCACCTCCTGTGGGAAGCCCTGGCCAAGAAACGCCGGATGAGCCGGGAGCCCACCTTGGATTCCATCAGCGAGGTGCCTGAAGAGGACGAGAAGCTCCAGAAGTTGAGGAAGGAGGAAGCGGAGATGTCTCACTACTACTCAGAGGAGTACTCCACGTGCGACGAGCTGGCTAGGACCGGAGAAGCAGATTTCTCTTTCACAAGCTCAGATGATGAGTCTAGAGCTGGGACTCCTTCACTGGTGAACTACCTCAAGAAAGCTGGGAAGGCAAGTGTCAGTGTCACTAGCAAGGTTCAGTCCATCTCCACAGGAAAATTATGGAAACAGTGGGAGAAATCCAGTGTGGAGACCGTTGTGGCTGCCCCAGCTGCTAAGCCAGCTGAACCAGAAATACCAGATTTAGATGATCCTTCCATGAACAAGGCCGCTGTGAAGATCCAGGCTGCTTTCAAAGGCTACAAAGTCAGGAAAGAGATCAAGCAACAAGAGTGCCCAGTGTTTACCGAGACCTTCAAAGATTTCTCTGGTGAGCCTGGAAGTACTCTCCACCTTGAGTGTATGGCACACAGCAAAACTGACATGAAAGTCTGTTGGCTGAAAGATGGGGAAGAGCTTTCAGATGGTCGCTACTATCACATAGACAATTACAGCGATGGGACTTGCTCTTTGATTATCACTGGCTTGGACAGGAAGGATGCAGGTAAATACACCTGTGAGGCATCCAATAAATTTGGCAAGGTTTCACACAGTGCTAAGGTGGTTATTGGCACTCAGGAACCTCAAGTTCTTCGTAAGGAGAAGCATGTTAAACAAAGCACTGACAGTGAGACAGAGAGCTCATCTGGCAGTGAGCTGGATGATGCTTTCCGTAAAGCAGGAAGGAGACTTCATAGACTCTTCCGGGCCAAGATCTCAACAGAGATATCTGATGTGGAGGAAGAGCTCTTTGTCAGTGCAGATGAAGGGGACATAGAAGTGGTCGACCATCAGACGTATCGTGAGGATGACCAGTATATCTACATCAAGTTTGAAATCCTGTCTGAGGCAAAAACTGCCGCCACTCGATTCAGAGAGATGTTTGGTGCTTTAGGAATTCCTGTGGAGATCGACATTTTGGAACAAGGCCCTAAAAAAATTGAATTGCGTATTGGGAAAGCAACACCACCCACCCATGGAAAGTTTGCACCGCCAGTAGTGAGACCTCCACCACCTTTGCTGACTTCTGATACAGGTAGGTGAAGCAAACCTGTTTATTCTTTGGAAAAGACAGCTGGAGCAGGTCAGAATGTTATCATTTCATTCACAAATAACTTCCAAAAAAACCCTTTATTTTTCATCTGGTGCAGATATTTTTCTGGAAACTGCACTTTTGGAAAAACTGGTTTTGTTTTTTGTTTTTTGTTTTTTTCATTTAAAGGGAGAGGAGGGAGGTTAGTGATGAAGGAGGGGGTTGCAAAGTATTAATTATCTAGAAAGTTGCTTTTCACAATAGAAATGTCCCCTACTACAATAATATGACCATAAATGCTATGATTATTGTACTTATATAAATGAAACTGTTTTCAGAACAGTCCTGAAGGAGACGAGACATTTCGTCAAGGGGAGAAACAGAGGCAATGTATCGTTTGCAGCTGTGGTATTGCAATGCTTACGGTGTTATGGAATATCTTCATCGTGATTGTCAGGGAGTTTCTTCTTGACCGTTTTCACAGAGAAAAAATATCACTCTGCAATTAAATAACCTAGAAACCAGAAGTCTTCAGGCACCGGGCAGCAGTGCTCTTAACCATCTTTCAACACAACCAAGTTTTTCCTGTCTTCTCTCCTACCCTGACTTTAGCTCCCATGTTCATGACTGAGCTCCAGAACCAAGAGGTACAAGATGGATATCCAGTCAGCTTTGACTGCATTGTTGTTGGCAAACCGCTCCCCACAGTTCGCTGGTTCAAGGATGGGAAAGCTATTGAAGAAAATGATCATTACATGATCAATGAGGACCAGGAAGGGTGCCATCAGCTGATCATCACAGCTGTGGTCCCCACCGACATGGGTGTTTACCGTTGCCTTGCTGAAAACAACATGGGAGTTGCTTCAACCAAGGCTGAGCTTCGAGTGGACTGTAAGTCTCAAAATCACTGTAGAAAAACAAAGGGACAGGGTCCTGGTGAAAGGGGGATAAATTGTTTTTTCAAGAAAAACACCATTTACATTAAAAAATGTATGTGTTGCCCACGAAGTGTTTCAACTGGAAACCTCTTGGTTTGCCAACTCCAAGGCAAGGCTCAGAGCAAAGCTCTTCGGATAAACAGGGGTGTTTTCCATAATCCAGGGACATGTGGGATCCTGCTGCAGTAGCAGCATGAAATCAACCTGCCAGTCACTCAAATTAGTAAGGAAACTATAATTATAATAAGAAAAATGGTTTCAAAGCTCAAATTATTCCTTTTCCACTTAACAGTGACCAGCACTGACTATGAGACAGCAGCAGATGCAACAGAGACATCTTCTTACTACAGTGCCAAAGAATATGTTTCAAGGTAAAATATCAAACTTTAGCTCTTTCTAACTTCTGACTTGGTAAGATCAGTATGTGTCTTTATGTCAAGCCTGTTTTTGCTACAGCTAGCAGGGCCAGTTTAATGTCATAAAGGAACAGCCATACCAGCTGTGGTGCAGTAACTGCAACAGCTGGACTTTTATCATGTGCAACCTTGCTCTGGCTGCCTTCACGCTAGCCTGGATATTTCTTCATGGTACCACTCCGTTACTTTTAATGCCATATGGTGCTGAATTTGCTGTCATGATGACAAAACCCACAGACTGAATCAACCTAAAATAGGTGATTCTTGGTTCCTAACTCTTTTCTGGCTTGCTGACTGTTTTCTTTCTAACTCTAATTGCTTCTTAGCCGAGAACAGGAGGAATCTACCACTGAGGAGGAGCAATTGCCCCAGATCTTCGATGAGCTTCATGATATTCACGTGGCACCGGGAGCATCACTGGCTAAATTTCACCTGAAGGTGAAAGGTAAGGGGAGCCCACAGCACCATCAGTTGCTCCGTTTGCTGTCAGGTTGAAGTGCTGGACAAGGTTTTCCCATGTGCTCTTCTGCAGCTGTGACCTCAGTCTGTGCATCTTGCACCATCTTTGCACAAACCAGCTAGAAGAACGTGTTCGTGCTGATGAACATTGACTTTTGCAGCAGGCTCAGGCAGATTAAGTGTCTCATTGTGTGTCCATGTCTCCAGGCATAATTACAGCCATACGCTCCTGAAAACCGAGGCCTGTAATTCTCTGAGCACATTAGTTATGGAGGAGCAATAAGCAATAAAAAAAGATAGTGAGGGTGTCCTTTATTCTCTTTAACAAATTAAACAGTCCTGAACTTGCCTTACGCTATGAGGGGGTTGCTGCTACAACCTAAAAACTACAAAAAAGTCCTCCTGGTGTTGACTGTCTGTGGTAAGGAGAGGTAGGGATTCTCCCGTTTTCTCCGACTGCTGCCTATAAAAATGATGAGAACGTTTCCGCTTCAACTGTTCTCTTTGTGTACGTTGCAAATCAGACCTAAGTGTTCCCTCTTCAACCTGGAAGGCATTTGCCCACGCAGCCAATATGGGGAGTGCCAGAAGCTGAAGAGACAGGAAAGACCTTTAACAGATAAATAGAATTTCATGAATTTGCAGACATTCCTAATTGGGTAAATCCTTGAAACAGCAGCCCTGGGCAGAGCTGAGGATTCCTTGGCTCCTGCTCAGGAGGATCTCCCTGGTTGCTGATGCTCCCAAATCCATGTTGCCAATGCATTCTGTTCTCCGTGCCTGTTGCTCCTCACAGGGTACCCACAGCCTCGCCTCTATTGGTTCAAAAATGGACAGCCATTAAAGGCCTCCGACCGCATCCTCAAGACTGATAAACAGGAATTCCACTCGCTGGAAATTCGCGACGTCACTAAGGCAGATGCTGGCCAGTACTCAATATTTATCATCAACTCTGCGGGCTCTGCATATTCATCAGCCAGGCTGGTAGTCAAAGGTAGGTATTGGACTATTTTTGACACTTGATTTTCTCTATTCCAGTAGCTTTTTCTGTTTTATATAGTTATTTTTCTTGAGAAAGCCTATAAAGGTAAGTCAAGGGAGGTGGGGAAGTCTGCAGATAAAAGATGAGTTGCTTTAACCTTAGTTTACCTGTAAATTTACTGTGTGTCCTGAAGATGAGACATGTCACGTCTCAAGGATCTGACTCTTGTCTCATAAACATACATTTTATTCCTGCCCAACCTCATTGGCTTTCATGGTTCATTTTATTAAAACCGAGAGCCTCCTATACGTCATACTTGAGGCTGTTCCTGTAAGATACTGCCGTACCACTGAAATTTTGGGAACTGTGAAAGCAGGTGTTTCCAGAGATGACCATGTGTACTTGTATTTATTTGCTTAATTGTTCTGAAATTAGTAATTAAATCACCTTGGTAGGAAGGAGTTGTAATTTATGAAAATTATCTTTAGAATTATGTGTGTTAATGGTACTGAAAAACTGAAATAGATCCATTCCCATGCTATAGGATGATTCCTGTCATTTTTATTAATAAATGTACTTTAGCATACTCTTTTCATAGGACAAACATTTCTGTGTAATAGCTGCTGCAAGGGGTAATCCCCTGCAATACCTTTTCTTTTTTCTTCAACTCATGGACAGAATGATAATTGTATTTGTAATTTTGTTTGTTCTCTCTGTGTTACAGATCCTGATGAGAAAGAAGAGCCATCAGAAAGAGGTGAGAGAAACCACAGCAGGTAACACCTAGGGATTTTTTCAGTAGTCTACACTGACACAGAAGGTGTCACCATGTTTCATCAATAATGTCATTTTCAGATTCGCAGGAGCAGCTGATACCACCAAGGTTCCTAGAAAGATTTACTAATAAAAAGGTGAAAAAAGGTGCAAGCATCACATTATCTGTAAAAGTTGAAGGTAAGCGGATAGATACCTTGCCTCTCTGCATAACACTTAAATTGTACAACTTCATGACACATTCTGGAGTCTCTCTGGCCCAAGTCATCGTAACCTCATCTCCTGTACGTGAAGGCTGGACTCTACTCCCAGCTTTGTAAGAACCTTTGTGTGCTTTACAGCAAAGCGTCTTACTCATCTTCACTTCCATTTTCCTGTATGTAAAAACAGGGATAATGACATTTATTATTCTTATGAAGATGTGTTGATTAACAGTTTTGGTTTTACAAAAAGTTTTAATATCCTTGTGTGTGCACTGCAGAAAGGTTTATGTTCCTTTACTATGTTCTGTGCCTGTTATTGTTAGAAAAATATCAGGAAACAAATCAAAATAACATTTATTCACAGCACGGCTCATAATTTTAAGGAAGGAACACCACTAGGAAAATTAAAGCTCATTGCATTGGTTTTCCTTTAGGACACCCACCACCAACTATTACTTGGCTGAAAGAAGAGTCTCGGGAAGACATCCTGTGGATCAAACCAGACACTCCGGGGTATAAACTTGCCAGTTCAAATATGCATCACAGTCTAATTCTGTTGGATGTTAAAAAGAAGTACAGTGGAGCTTATACATGCATTGCTACCAACAAGGCTGGCCAGTCCATCTGCACCGCCACCCTGGAAGTTGCAGATGGTAAATCTTTCTTATAGTACAAACACATTCTCTATGTATGTGCCCTTATGCACAGTGCCTAAGAAAAAAACAGTGTGACTGATAAGGAAATTAATCAAATCTCCACCTAAAACCCCCTGAACATTTTTTCCAAGATTAACCATGACTTCACTTGCCTTGCACATGATGACACTCTTTACTTATATAATCATCAAATAGGATCATGGAATCATTTGGGCTGGAAAAGACCTTTAGATCATTGAGTCCAACCGTTAACCCAACCACTAAACCATGTCCCTAAGCACCACATCTACACATCTTTTACATACCTCCAGGGATGGTGTCTCAAATAAAATTTTACATTTCTGACCCCAGCTTGGATTAACAGCAGCATCTTTTCTGTATAAACAGAAGACAAGTCTATGAAACAACCAAATTAAGCACAAAGGAAAAAGAAAGGAAAAAAGGCAATATAAAGTAACTAGGAAAAGTCACCATTTAAAAAAATTACTACTTCACTCTGCTAATATATTTTTCATTATATAATTCCCTTAAGGCAGCTAGAGTTATTTGATTCCCCTTTTGCAGAGATTTCCAGGGCCTCCTCTGGCACAATTGTTTCAGTAAGAGGTGGGACAAGCAAATACAGGCTGGGAGTAGGTGCAGCACTGTGAAGGACTCAATTTTTCTGTTATCCTTCTTTGCACCCCACATTTTTACTGTACCAAGAGCTACAGGAGCATGGCTTGAGCAGTGTAGAGCAATGGGGCAATCGTACATCTGTGTGAACAGACTATTTGCATCATATGCGTGGGAGTATGTGTTCCAGAGTCAGGAGCTGCTAACAGGGAAGATTCAATATTCTAGTGTTCCCAGTAATCCATGTCTAGAAAATGCGCTTATATTAAATACATAAAAAGAACGATCTCTGCCTTCTCTCCTCTAATGACAATCCCTAATCTTGCAGTGAAGGAGGCTGAAGTTCTGACCCAAGAGCGTGTGATGGTGTCTGAAGCCATCATGACCACACTGGGGTAAGTGGTTGGCTACCCATGCTGAAGTGGAGCAGTGCAGGTACCACCCTGCAGAGGTTCCCATGGGCCACTTTTAGGCAGTGTTCACTTTGGACATCTTTGTCTCAGCACCAGAGTTAAAATAGTTTGAGGTCATAGGATGGAAAGTGCTATGAATACTCTAGTATTCAACCTAGCAATGTTGGCCATTTATGCTTGATTATCAGGGAGGATAGGAACAAGGACCGAAAAAAAAAAAAATTGGGTAGGTCATTATAAAACTCTTGCTACTTTTTCATCTCCTAAGTAGAGTGCCAAAAAATTTCACAGGGTCAAGGTCTGACTGTTCCTTGCCAATGCTGAAATACACTGATTCATAGAAAAAGAAGTAGATGAAATGGTCTGCTCACAAACTTATTGTTTAGACATCCACCTGAAGAATAACGTCCTCAATTCACCATTCTTGGCTTGGATACTAGGCAGATACAGTCTGAAAAGCAGTATCCACCTGAATGCACGTTAGCTTCTGGAATATGTCCAGCCTGAAAGGCTTGACCAGTCTTCTTCTGAAGTGTGAAGAAAGCTACAGTGCAAACTCAGCTATTGCAACCTCTCCCAGCGAAGTGCCCAGGCTCTGCTAGGAAGTTGGTGCTGGTAAAAGCTGCCAGCATAGCAAGGTTCTCTTTGGACCTCAGAACCATTGCAGAACCAGTAGTCAGCTTGCTTCCCCATCACATGGGCATCCTGATGTGATGGGAGCAGATCTCTTGGCAGGACCACAGCATCTGCAGATTCTCCAGTCCGTGGTTTCCTGATGAAACCACTGGAAATTGTTGAGCATTAGTTCACTGAAAACCAACAGACTACAGATTCCACTTGACATAATGTCTCCAACTGAGATAGACAGTTTTGTTTTAGTGGCAGCTGGGAATAAAGTCCCAGTAGCACCAGGGAAATGGGGTCTACTCTGTTCTGCAACCCACTCCCTGAGCAGCCAGGTCTTCTCAAGAAACGTTTTGAAATAAAAGTCAGGAATGACGAGAATTCTTGGATGGGATTTGGCTCAAAGACTAAGACACCCAAGTGTTTCTATGCCCATAGGAGCCAGGTGCCCCAATTCCCCTTTCATATAGTGGCGCTGGTGAGTATAGGCTACCAGCACCTGCAGTCCAAACCAAAGTCCTAACTTAGATATTCCCAGCCTTCACGTACAAGGTGTGAGAAGGAGGGGGTGTTTCTCTTTTAGCTCTCCTTACTACACATTTCATTTTGACTTTTAGCTCTGCTTTACTTTTTCTTTTTCAGATCTATTCATCCCTCTGAAACAAGAGAAGGTAAGAGCAGCTATTTTCTCTCTCCTACTCCTGCTCTTCACATCTACAGCTGAGATTGTCTATGTATTTCATGATTACCATCTACTTTTGTCCCATTTTCTTGAAACTGTCTGAAATGCTGGAACTTTTCAGGACTGATCTCTGTTCAAGGGTGAATTATTTGGATGAAATGTGAGCAAGCACAGTTTTAAAAACAGGGGAAGTGAAGAAAATTAGACCTTACTTCCACAGCAGCTTTTGTTACTCAAAAAAGTTGACTTTCCAATGACGTTTCCTGCTTAATAGAAAATTGTCTCTTTTTCCAGGAGACCTTGAAGCTGGTAGAGAAGGTGTACCCAAAAGCCCTATTTCATTAGCTGATGTTGGCTCAGAGGAGTTCTTCCAGAAACTCACCTCGCGTATCTCAGAAATGGTATCTGCAAAAATAAGTCAGGGTAAGGAACCTGGCAAACACCATTTAATTTGTGTAGAAAAATATGCAGTCTTTTTTTTTTATGTCATTTGGACTTTAAATATCAGTGAGATTTATGAAGCGGGTTTTGAGACAGTCATCCTGCATAAGGTTATGAACATCTGTAAATGCTTAGGACTAAGAATTTTTAGTAAAAGTCCATCCAAATGACATGTTTTAGTCTACAGTTTTGAACTAGGCAAAAAGCTATTGCAGTAAGCTGACAGCTAGTGTCCATTTTATGCACACAGTGTTTATTTAAGTAAGTAGGAGTAACTGTAAGCTTTAGAGTGGAGACCAAGTTGTAAAAATGGAAGTGTATTTTGAACATCTTAGGTATTTAGAGTTCCTCAGATATTCATCGCTCCAGGGTCTGAAAGCAATCCTGTTTAGAAGACTTCCCACACCTTCAAGTATTAGCTCACAATGGGACTTTAAAATTGAGGCTGAAAACTCTGTGCACAACTGTGCAGTAATCCAACAATTTGTTGACTTAAGTGAAAAATCATGGTTTGTGGTAAAATTTTATCTTGAAGCAAAAATAGAGGCATTACCTCTCCTACAAATATTCTTGCTGCACAGTCGCAATACATGCATAGGCATGCAACCTCATGGATTAAAAAGTCCCAATTGTTTATTTAATCCTAAATATCAATAGGAGATCACACTAAACACTACAAATGCTCTTCCTGGGGAATATTTGTTTTTATGAAATTGAAAATTATTCATGCTCAAGTTGGAGATCTTCATTTCACACTTTGCTGTTGCTCTGCTTTTTAGCTACACTTCGAGTGCCAGGTGCAGAAAGTGATGATGAATCAAAAACTCCCTCTGCATCTCCTCGCCATGGGCGATCCAGACCTTCATCCATTGCTCAGGAGTCCTCCTCTGAATCTGAAGATGGGGATTCGAGAGGAGAGGTATGATATCTTTATGGACAAGTTTGACACAATGAGAAAACTTTACTACTGGCCAATCTCCTATGGTTTAAGGATCACCATCCCCTTTAGGGATGTACTTCACTTTAGTAGGTATATTTAGTAGTTAAATCTGGAGTCTGTGATACAGAGCACAGAGAATCAAATTCTGATGCTTACTCTGTGATCTTGAACAAGTTGTTCAAGTCAACATGGTCAAAACATATCCATTATTTGGCACCTTTTGCTTTCGTGGCTGAGCCTCAGAAAGTCAGAGCTTGATTTTCTGTGCCTTGGATATGGTTGGTCAGAAAAATTTTGCTGAGAAGTTCTTAATGAGAAAAATGAGAATTTTGTCAAAATTAGAAATTAGAAATTTTTTGTGTGTTCATTTCAAACAGTTCCTTATAAAAAAACCACCAAATTTACTTTGGAAATGTTAACCTATTTTGACTTTTTCAGGACCACTGTTTGTTTTGCCTTGGGAGAAAAATCCACTGTTTCATGGTGTAAATCCAAAATACCTCATATAGTTTTGAAAATATGGCCTGAGCCTCCTAGAGACTGAGTCTTCCACTTGCAAAAAGCAAACAGTGATTCTTTTTGCATACAAGGGCTGGAGAACAAAACATTAAACACAGATAAGCACTTATGTTCTGCTGGTGCTACTGTATTCTGTTTTCAGAGTACCAAATAACTGTCATTTCATGCCTGCAGATCTTTGACGTCTACATGGTCACAGCTGACTACGTGCCCACTGCGCCTGACAGAGAGACCATCACTTTGAAGGAAGGCCAGTATGTGGAAGTCCTTGATTCAGCTCATCCTCTGAAATGGCTGGTCAGGACTAAACCCACAAAATCTAGCCCCTCTCGACAGGGTTGGGTATCCCCAGCTTATCTGGACAAGAAATTAAAGGTGATTGATCATGCTGTGTTTGTCTTTCATGTAAAATTGCTTGCTCCTGTCACAGTTTAAAGCCATCCCTTTTGCAAGGAGTGATGGATGAGGAGGTTGTTGAAGGTGTCTGTAACATGACTGGACTTTTTCATGTTTTGACTGGACAATATTTCTGTAGGTGTGCAGGGGTGTCTGGGTTTGAAAGACCTAATCATCCTCCATCCAAAAAGAAATTTCACACTGGTTTAGGAATTACTGAAAGGGACTGTGAACACACGAGGGATACTCCTCAGCGCACATTGATAAAAGCACTGTCAACTTAAAAGAATAATGTTTCTTTTTTCTTCTATTTTAGTTGTCACCAGAGTGGGGAACAACAGAAACTCCCGAGTTCCCCGGAGAGTTTGTTACTGAAGACGAATATAAAAGGAAGCTAAGGTGAGCTCATGTCGTTTGATATTTGCGCCTTTGAGTTTTCCTGCCTGTTGGCATCTAGGTCACTCCTGTCAAAGCCACTGTTTTTGTTCTGCTGAGTCCTGCCACCTCCCCCTTCCCAGAATCAAGCAAACCCTTGATTCTCTCAGACTTGTAATTTGTGATCTTTGATTGGGTTTTGCCATCGATTTCAGCCTAGGCAAATTCCAGGCAACCTAAATCATATTGGATGACTTGAAAGGGGGGTGTACATGATGTAATTGTGGAAGATTTCTGATTTCACAAAATCCTAAGCTACAGTACCTCTGTACTTTGGGGTGCCCAGTATCTAAGGACGGTATCTAAAGAGGGAGTGAAAGCACTCAGGCTTGTGTTACTCGCTTGCAGTGCAGCACACTACTGAATGTGCTCTCATGGAGATATTTGCTTTCTGGATTGCATAAAGGGGCATTGAAGCAGCTATTGCCTACTTTACAGAGATCCTTTTGTTGCTCACGCTCTGTTTTATCCGCCCTAGCAGCAGATGTTTGTAAGGTAGAGGTAGGTGTGACTCCATGAGCAGGGTGTCTAAGTTCCTCTTACGGTCAGAGGGGATCTAGTCAACACACTCCAGGGAGTCTGATCTTCTCATCATATCATGTATTTTAAAGCCTAAAAGTCCCTCAGTATGTCAAGGATAATTATGATGATTTTTCTGTGATTTCTTTTTGCCTATTCGTCTTCCCTTCAGTGTTCTTATTCAAGAGCTGTTGATCTCAGAAGAAGATTATATTCAAGATCTACAGTTCCTCCAGACTCATCACCTGAGGTACACTGAGGCCTGTCCCAGTGTCCCAGGAGCTGTCGCCAGTCAGAAATCCACCATCTTCAGAAATATCGATGACATTGCTCGCTTCCATTCCAGGTGGGCATTCCCATGTGCCTTCCTCTGAGACCAAAGAGTGGTTCATATACCTGGTGTCAGAGCCACAGTAACTATTATTACTGTGAAGGATGTGGAGCACTGGCAGTGCTGAGGTGCAAGGCAACTGATGGTCCTATTGGGATGATAGATGATGGCATAGCTTAAGTCAGAGCACAGGGCTGGGACTCCCATAATACCCTTCAGAGCTTCAAGGCTTCATGTGTCCGGCTTATTTCTTATGCTTTTAAGCTAATTTAATTGAGAAACAGTGAATTATTATAAAAAGGCAGCATAGTGTTACAGGCACTTCACTGGTGTCTTCATAGAGACACACATTCATCTAAAACGGGTGCCAGCGTCCATGCATTCGAAACACATCCAGCTGTAGCAGGCTGCCCAGGTACAACGCCTGCCGACTCCAAGAAAGGATTTACGGCGGATCTGCTGTTCACAACGTGACTTCCCAAGGTCCAGGCAGAAATACTTTTACTTGCCAGGGAGAGGAGGTGTTGTACAATGTCTTATGTGCCTTAGGCTTTCCGTTGTAAGGGGCTTCTTTTTGCACCTCGATACCCTTGCTCTCATGGGAAGTGATCATTCTTGTAGAAAATCCCTGTCAACAGCATGAGAACCCCCCTTTTTTCCCCATTTGCCTACACTATGGTCCTAACTTTCGGTTTATCTTGGGGGGGAGTGTCAATAATATGCACGCACAAAGCTCAACAAGCAGTGAGTGTGCAGCATCTTCCCTGATCAACGTGTGCTCTGATCAACGTCGTAAGCAGAAGCGACCAATGAGTTTGAGCAGGTTGCGATGAAAAGTATATAGTTACTCTGGGAAAAGCATTATGGGGGTCACTGCTTCTGCAATGGGGAGGACGCTTATGTGGGACACCCGGCACCTTTTTTGGCTGGGCCACGAGAATAGATTTCTCTTTCCTCCATCCCTCTCTCTTCTCCCTCTCTCCTGTTTTTCCCCAGAAGTAACTTCAACTGCAAGTGATGCACTTCATCAGCTATCGATGCTGCTAAAAATCTTTGTGCGTGTGAATCTGTCTCAACATCCTTTGTGAAAGAGAGTGGGGATCTCTATCTCCACTCCTGCGGATGGCTCATCGATCCTTAAACTGAGGCATAAACATCTGGGGAGGTGTTAACTTCCCAATCTGATCTAAACCCTTGAAAATTATCCCTACCTTCCTTGCAGGGCATTTCATACATTAAAACTAAGAGGGACAGCATCATGCTGGATGAAGAGGCATTGAGAAGTTTAATGCTAATGTGGCAACACCCCTCGTTTCCCCCTGACATTTCTTCAATCTCTGTTAACCTGAAACCGCCTGATATAAAAGTCTGGCTGCTGGGGCTGTGTTCTAGCCTCATTCCGTTACCTTCTCCTCAGATGTCCTTTTTCCTTTGTCTCCACAGTATCTTCCTCCGAAGCTTGCAGAAATGTGACACTGACGATGACGTGGCCATGTGCTTTATCAAGCACAAAACAGAGTTTAATAAGTACATCCAGTACCTGGTGGGGAGAGTACAGGCTGAGTCGATTGTTGTCAGCAAAGCTGTCCAGGATTTCTACAAGGTAAAACACTAGCCAAGGTACCCGCTGAACGTGCATCCTATAACCCACTGCATCAAGAAATGTAGTTATTAATCATAAATGTGATCCTGAAAAAGATTATTAAATATTTTTGTGGGAAATCACTGCTAAGTATAATAATTTTGTATTCACTGTCTAGCTCTTCCTGGTCAGTACAATCAATATGGGAACATATGTACCTATGCTTATGCATTTATGAATATTATAAAGTTTATACAGATATGAATGTGGCTGTGGTTATGTAATTGTAATTAAGGGATGTTTTAAGGGCCATCACATTATAAGACCGAGCAAACTCACATAAAATATTAGTGTAGACAGGGGAATCCTCTTTCTCCTCTTCAGCTGCTCAGGATTGAAGTTCACTGGTGAAAACACACACACAACGCTCCAGACCCATGAGCACATGCATGTTCATGGATCCCTTGAGTAGCAGCACGGCTCCTCTGTCCATCCAATACCCCTGCCCAGATCCTGAGTACTTTTACGCTCTCCACGAGCCTCCCACTCACCAGCTAGTCCAGCTTGATGCTCACTAGAACACAAATGCACATGTTCACACTCACCGCACATTCACACATCCTTCAGTTTATCAGCACGAGCTCTCAAGCCTCCCTAATGTCCACATCTGGACTCTGGGTCTCCTACTTACATCTACTCCAGCTTGAAGCTTGCTGGTAAATTGCACACATTTGCACCCACATGCACCGGATCAGTGGGAAAGGATAAGCATCCAGCTCAGTGGGTGATGTCCCAGCACGTGGACCCTGTGACCTGCGCTTCCCACTCCAGGTCCTGGTGCCAAGTCCCTCACTCGCTCCAGTCGCAGGCACTGCAACCACACGGACCACTCGCGACCAAGGTCTGGCACCAGTTGCTGGCACCGAGCTTGCTCATTCCTGCCCTCCCGCGCTCCGACAGCGCTGATCTTTCCTGTCACACCATCTGGTTCTGCAAACTTTGGATCGCGTTTCCCCAGCGTTGGTCCTGCACTGGGAAAGCGGACAAATTCAGCATTTCAGACACGTTGCAGTCTAAAATGACAGCTAGCTGATAAAGGATGGGGGAGGGTTACAGTTGTCCAAAATACGGGGTAGTAAGGTCTGGTAGAGCTATGGTAGAGTTTTGGCTGAGTGAAGTCTATGAACCAGCACCGTATGAGCATTTTCCAGGGATTACTCTTTTCCATTGCTCTTTATAACAACCTTTCCTCGCTCTTCTGTGTGCTTTTTCAGAGATACACGGATGAAATTTTAACTAATGAAGATCCTTCACAGCCACTTATCCCACCACTGCAGCACTACCTGGAAAAACCTATAAACAGGATCCAGCAGTACCAGACTATAATCAAGGTGAAAAGCTTTTGTTATATGCTTCTATCTGATAGGTTTATGTTCTGCTTTGTGTAGCTTGTATAGAAAAATATTTTATTCTTACTTCATATTTCTCGGCTTTCTTCTGATGTAACTACAACTGAAAGCTGCTTGAGTAAGTAGGACAGTAATCCTCACCAGTGATGGTGCTCTCTAAATAGTTTTGTAAATGTAAATCCAGGTAGAGTTTCAGTCTCCAACCCCATAAAGTTCCACAAGCTTCATCTGAGTGATCTTCAAACATATGCATATGCATCTATAAAATATATGCTTATATATATACACAAATATATATGAATACATGTATGTATACATCCATGACAAGTATGAATTTCCTTCACACCCGTCAACAGGTATGTCATAAAAATAAGCAGTTTCCAATGCGTAAGATACTGACTTAACATTTTCTTTCCTTGTCTTGTATACTGCCATTATGGAAAGATGAAATTTTTGTTTTCTTAAAAGCTTTGCCCCATTCTACCATCCTAAAATGTTTCATCTTTCAAGCGTTCATCTGTCCTACTACCTCAGGTTCTAGCCCAGACCACAACCAAACATTTCAAAGTAGCATTTTAAACAGTATTTTTTACGGGAAATAGCACTAGGATATCCGGGAAGAAGACAGTCATGCCAAAACATTTCTGTATTCCAGTGGGGCATGAGTAAACAGTTTAAGTAGATTGAAGAACATTAACTTTCTAATTTTGAACACATGCCTGCACACAAACACCAAAATTTTTAAGGATCTCTTGGAAGAGAGAGCAAGCATGGGCACTTTCCATGCCTTCATTGCTATAAGAAAGGAACAGGAACAAATGTGAGAAGAACAGGATAACTGCCATTGTGTATTTTTTCCAACCTCTCTTTTTATTAATCTGATATCAACTCTTAGTTTAGCACTGCCACATGAATTGCTTGCCTCGCGGTGTTATCAGGGTATGCACAAGAGAAATGCAATGGATACATTTAGGATTGCTTTAGGGTTTTTTTGGTTTTCAATCACTGAAGCATAGCTGGTATTTGCTTCAACTTTGTCTTTGCTTAATATCAGCTGGTGTAAGGAAAAGCCAGACTGGTTTGTCATTAAGGCTGCAGAAAAGGGTAGGAAAGAGGAGCCTTTAGTACCCAAGCAGCACATGGTGAAAGAATGGGATAAAAGTTGCTCACATGAAAGACCTGGGACATATATTGAGAAACTTTTTGGTTATCAAGGATTTTTTTTTTTTTCTGACTGCCCAGTAATATTTTCTTCATTCACCTACAGGAATTAATCCGAAACAAAGCAAGAAATAGCCAGAACTGCACTTTGCTGGAGCAGGCTTATGCCATTGTGTCTGCACTCACCCGAAGAGCAGAAAACAACCTCCATGTCTCACTCATTGAGAATTACCCAGGGACCTTGGAAAGCCTTGGTGAACCCATCCGACAGGTAACTGAGATTTCTTAGTCAGTGTTAGTGCTATGTGTGCCTTCACTAGTTTCTACGTAAACTTAGGTCCTACAAGAAGCTCCTTTACAAATCATATCTGAAAGAGAGCACTTGCTTATTGCCTTTCCTACTGTTCAGAGAAATGGGTCTCCTGGCTTGATAAGGGTTTGAAGCACCAGAGCATAGGCGCTTATGGAGCAATTCACACATAATATAGTTACTTGCCTTTCCAACACGCTCATCAAACAGGAACAGATTTGTTCTGGGCCCCGACATGATTTTAAAGCATTTTATTTTTTCTTCCTCCTCTCTTATTATTGACAAGCTACATGGGCCAGGTCCTGAAATTACTGGCATCTGAGGGTTTTTCCTGTTGATTCCTCAGATGTTAGAAGCTCACTGAGCCTTTTCAGTCTACATGTTTTCAAATTTACACAGTTTTTTCAAAGAAGAGCCTTGTTTGCTGGGCAAGTCGGTACAAGGTAGCATAGCATACGTTGCATGTGCTCCATGTGAAAACATTAGATCAATTCATGCATGTTCTCCCACAGCGGTTCATATATCTTCAAAAGACCTGTATGCCCCTCCAGGTCCTTCTCATGAAACAGATGTGTGGTTTAGAGGAAAGATGGCCCAGCTATTAGGATACTAGTCTAGGACTTTTAACACCCTTACTCAAATTTTTCATTCTCTGTAGACTTACTGTGTCATGATGGGCAAGTCATTTACTCTGCCTGTTTGTATCCTGTGTCTTCCATGGGAATCACAGTGTATTGCTGAGTGGAGTTGTAACGCTAAATTACAGTGATACACTGGTGGGCATTCATCTATCCACATTTAGATATCTGAAAGAGAGTCCAATCACACCCCAAGAGTGCTTACTTCTCCCTAATGATGCCAAGGGGGAACCCATGTCACTAGCTGAGCTGTATATATATATACCTCCTTATGGGAAATGTTCTGGTGAAGGAGACCAAGTGAACATATAAAGTGTCCACATAGCACACAAAATACAATTTTCCATTAGCATTTCCATTTCCAAGAGTGTGCCTACCTGACAAGACCTCTGTTTTTTTCTGGCAACAAATAATATTTAAAGGACAGTGTAATGACAAGCACTCTGTGCACCCCTGTTGGTGCCGTCACGCTGATGCATCACCTTTAGCATTACAGACAATCTGCTGTGGTGTAATAAAACAGAGGCACATAAGGTGATGATGTAACAGTAAATATTTGTTATCTGTTCACTGAAAAATGATGGTGAGACATCATCGTGGTAATTATTCCACAGTTATCACTATGTGATTTTCCTTCTTCTTCCTATCAGGGCAACTTCATTGTGTGGGAAGGAGCTCCAGGAGCTAGAATGGCATGGAAAGGACACAAAAGGCATGTCTTCCTCTTCAAAAATTATATTGTGATCTGCAAGCCGAAGCGAGACACAAAGACAGACACCTACAGTTACATCTTCAAGAACATCATGAAGGTCTGATCATTATATCCTCACCTAGAGCATTTCTCTGTCATTTAGAACTTCATGTTTATATCCATCTTGGACGTTGCACTAATACTTTTGAGCTATTCCTTTGTTTCCAAAAGCCTTTGAAGCACAAGTAGGATCTATGTCTGTCCCAAAATCTCTCTGTTAAATCTGTCAGAAACACGTCAGAAACCATCAGAAGCATGGGTGGATTTTTACCGTGCAACAATGAGATTACGTGCACAAGTGTTTATTCAACTCTGTTACCTTATTGCGTTAACTGCGTATGATAATGGTGTGAATTTTGCTGTCTATAGTATTTGCTAGCATTTGTAGATCTTTCATTTTGGCAGTCTGTAATGTTGGTAGCAAATGGGAGGAAATGCTGTTTTAGTCGTATGCTACATTCCCAGTGGTTCTCTCTGCTGGTTATGTCCTTTCCTGACACCAGTTCCTGTTTAGAAATTAAAAACTCAGAGGATTTGACCAGCTCATCTTCAGACATTCAGGGCTCAGGTTAAAACTGCAAGAAATTGCAGAGTTTTCCCAAGGCAGTAGGTGCTCAACTCCAATAAAAACCAACCAACAAGACAAAAAGCCCATGGAGTTCTTGACCAAGCCCACTCAGGGCCTTCTGAAAGTCCTTATCTCTGTCCTCATTGATATTCATAGGCAGATTTTATTTTCCAAGAAAAAAAAAGGGATGTTTTGTCCAGAGAGCGCCTGCTCTGTAATTTCTTTTCATGTAGTCCCTAATTGTGCTGTTCCTGGGCCCACCCTTAGGATACCCTTTAATGCTGGATGTTATTTTCCTGAAATGTGATAATTACTCCCTGGAAAATGTCTGTTGGGTAACCAGAAAGTCAAGTATACTGGGGAAAGGATTGCAAACTGACCCTGGTTGCTGTTCAGCCAAAGCCATGTTGCATTGCTCATGCAATCTGAAAAACCTTTAAAAGTGGTGTAAATTATCCCTTTTGCTGTTGGAGCATCTAATATAGCTTTAACAGGAATAGCACAACTCATGTCCACTGAAGAGGGTACACACTGGCAGCAGGAGACTTGCCGGTGTTTAATAGTTGTTTCCATTCTAAACCTTGATTGAAAAATGTTGTGGTTCACAAAAGCTAGTTCCAGATCTGAACTGTCCTAAACTGTGGGGTTTCAGTTGTGGGAAAGGTTCTGGCTGAAATTCAGTCCCAAGAACACAGAATGTGTGTTGAATTTCTTGTCCTCCTGTCACACAGCTGAACAACATAGATGTGAACGACCTTGTGGAAGGGGATGACCGGGCGTTTGAGATCTGGCACGAACGGGAAGACTTGGTCCGCAAGTACCTTCTTCAGGCACGTACAGTGAATATCAAGAACTCCTGGGTGAAGGAGATCTGTGGCATACAGCAGCGGATCAGCGAGCCTGTCTGGAGTGAGTATGGCCCAAGATAGCCCAAATCTCCTAGTTTTTTCTTGGGTGGTCTCCCTGATTCAGCAAGGAGATTAGCAAAAGGGGGAGAGAAACTATCTAGGGCCATCTGCCACCTCTTAAACTGAAGTAGAGTTTGAGGTTTTCCTTTAATCACATCACAGACTGCTGTAAATCACAACTCAGGTGACTTGACAACAAGCAGTAAGCTTTAACCGGAATGGTTATAGCAGCGTTAGGTCCTCCACCTGAGCTGGGGAAGACACCTTTATCAGGATGTGTGTCTTGAGGTGTTTGACTCTCTCCATTTACCACCAAGGGAGCCAATACTGTGTATCACTGACGTGATTAAGTTTACATGACAGAGGTCCCATGGGGCCTGTGTAGGTTTTTGGGCAATAGCAGAGCAGGTGAGTAACTTTCAAATCACTCTTCAATGTCCGTAACCCAAGTGTGGAAAACACAGGCTGATGAGCTGAGGAGAGCTGGCTAGCCCTGGCAGTTTCAGCGGATGTGTGTTGCCTTTGATGGAGCATCAGAGTCAGAGACTGAAGTGGTTGCTCAGTTCCCTGTCTTCATATTCATGCACTTTTGCCAATTAGAAGAGGATGTTCTTTTCCAGCAAAATAGCCCAGAAAATGTGCATCACTGGAGAAGAGAAACGTGTTATTGAAACGTCTAAAAGTGCAGAGTTGACACTAGAGATGCATTTGATTTGGCAGGGACTGCCAAAAGGTAGATGACCACAGAATGTGGTGGCAAAGGCCCTGGCATGAAGATGATGCATGAAGAGCATCAGACTCCAGTGGGAATACTAGTCTCAGGATATGACCCAGAGCCCTACTCATACCAGTATAAAGCCCCCTGTGACTTTGTTGGGTACCAAATCTTCCACTCAACTTCTGGCTTACGTTTCTGTATCCAGGCACGTGGGTTTGCTTTGGATTTTTATCTTGTCATTCAGGCTGCTTCGTCGTCATTGTCATTTTTGATTCCACCAATTTTCTATCCACAGAATTTATCAGCAGGGATATTAGATCTTTATTGTCCAGGTGTAAGCTAGAAATGGTGTCCTTTGCAGTGTAAGGAAATTTGGCACCTTAAAATGCCAGAACAGGGTTGGGTTTAGTGTATATAGTTTGGGCATTTTATTTTTGTGCTTTTAGTGAGGTGTTCTAATGAGGAAGACTACGAGAATAATTTTGCATAGTTTCATATGGCAGTAATAAGTTACAACAAAAGTCCCTCAGCAAAGCATAGGTTTTATTGTATGGAGACCAACAGAATACTAGTTTGGGTATCTGGGGTGCATTTTAATTGGGGAATTATCTTAACAGTGACAGCTGTGTGGTGACTGAATAATGGATGTGCTTATTAAAATCATGGCCTAAACCACTTCCAGATCAGCAACAAATCCCATTTTTTTTCATGGCTCATCTTTACAGCCAACAACAGACATTTGACAGAGCGCATTTAATCTCAGATAAGCAAGGACAACACATTACCTGGAAAGTCATCAGCTGCTAAAATTTCCTGTTCAGCTTTCCATTCTGAAGCTCACAGATTTGCAGAAATTATAACTATTCTTATCTTACTTTGCAGCAGCCACTCTGTGGACAGAGCCCCCCTCCTCCGGACTAACATGCTTATTCTGATGTTTCAGCACCTCCAGACTTTGAGGAAGAACTGGCGGACTGTACAGCTGAGCTGGGAGAGACAGTCAAGCTGGCTTGCAAAGTTACGGGAGCTCCCAAGCCATCTGTCAGCTGGTACAAAGGTATGAGGGGCAAGGCATGAAATGCATCCTCCAGATTTGTTCTCTGTCTGTATTGCTTTCTGCTAATCGGTTAGTGGGTAATCTAAAAGCTGACCACCTAGAGATATCCACGCCTAGTCTTAAAGTTAGCTACGAAACAAGCCAAGCAACGTAGATCTTCCTGTGAGGCTAACATACCCTGCTTTTTCGGGTTTGCCTATTAGCCCATATGAATCCACGTCTTGTGGCAGTGAGACAACTTCTAGTAAGTGAACAACTCGTCTGAACCAGCTCAGCTGTTTCCATGTCATAGCCCAGGCAGCTGTGCGGACATACTCTTTTCGCCAGCATTACTGTATTGCAGAGGAAACCGCTTTGCTCTAAGTTCACACCTTGTAAAGATCTGTTCTGCACATTTACAGTCACTTTGGAGGTGTTCCTTTGGCTAGCAAATCAGAGCTATAACTGCACGGCACATACTCTGGGAGAATTTCCCTTTTAAATGAGGATTAGGATGTATGAGGTCCCTCAGCGGTGCTTTGCCCAGAGGATGCTTTGTAGAGAGCTGGAGGAAGATGAAAAACTCATTCCTCAACTACCAATATCAGCTGCAATAAAGCAAATACATCTCTCGGTCCTCTCAAGTGAAAAGCTGGATGAAAATCCCAAGAAGAAAACACATTTGATACTAAACTCTTTACGAAGATGTTTCTCCCCTTTATCTTTAAGATGGAAAGCCTGTGGAGGTGGATCCCCATCACATTATAATAGAAGATCCTGATGGTTCCTGCACATTGATCTTGGACAACCTAACAGGTGTTGACTCAGGACAGTACATGTGCTTTGCTTCCAGTCCTGCTGGGAATGCCAGTACCTTAGGAAAGATCCTTGTTCAAGGTAAAGTACTGCACAGATGCATTTTTTAAAGGGATCTGCCATGTAATACCTTAAACGTGAATATTAAGACATTCCATGTGTTCTGTATAACATCTACTGGATAATACTTTAAAAAAAATTATTTCATGTACAGGTGTAGTCAATTATTCTTCAATCAAAAAATTTGGTCTTTAGTGTCTTGTGCGCAGACATCATGAGAATTACCTGGTCAGGGACACAGTCTTTGTATCTGGTCATATGTCCAGCTACATTTATCCTTGTTTTGCAGTGCCACCACGGTTTGTGAACAAGGTTCGAAATGCCTATTTCGTTGAGGGTGAAGATGCTCAGTTTACCTGCACTATTGAAGGAGCACCTAGGCCTCAAATCAGGTCAGTAGTTCAAGTCACACTGGAACGAGTCCTGTTTTCCCACTTTGCACGGTCAGAAGAGTCTCCTGCCCTTTCTTTCAAGGTTAAGATCCTTCCTTTTCTGTGTCTTCCACCTTAACCCCATCCAAATACTGGCTCTTCCTGATCCCAGCTTTCCTGAGATTCTCATCAATTTATTCTAGTTAGCATATGAAAATAAATACCTACAGATAATCCGATTTATAATAATAAGATTTAATAAACTGACAACATTTTATAATTTCTTTATCCTCCCTGCCTTACACTTGGATTTATTTTATCAGTAACCAGTCTGGGGTATTCAGACAAAGAGCTCAGCATAGCTTCACTTGATTAGAAGCCCTTTTCCCTGTATTGGCTGATGAGATTTCTTGAGGATCATCTCATAAACCTGTGCAGTTCAGTATCCACGTGTAATCTACCCACCTGTAGGCCTGTTTTCCAGGATCCAAACTTTAGTCTAATGATCAACTCTTGAGTTGCTTGCCCATTGCTCTGATAGATGGATCAGTGAGCTGGGAACTTATTGACACTGCAGTTTTTTTTCCTGACTTATACTTAGTGTTTTCCACATGCAGGTGGTACAAAGATGGTGTACTGTTGAAGGATTCAAGTAAATACCAGACTTTCAGTGAACCACGGAGTGGCATAATAATCCTGGTGGTCAAGAACCCTTCCAATGAAGATATGGGACACTATGAATGTGAGGTAAGTTCGGAGAGATTTAAAGATCTGCTGTCTGACATGACATAGGTAAGAGAATTCATTTTGCTGGGAGAGATCCATTGCATGAGAATAATGTCTGAGCAATTGCTGCCACCTCCCAACCAAAAAAGTTTATGCAAGCTGGGTTCTCCTGAACTAGACCTGGATTGTGCGAACATCCAATGGCTTCAGAATATTCTGGTCTGAGAGTTTGGTGGTTCAAACCGTAAGAGAGTGAGCTTGTTCTGGAGCTTAAATTCAGATCCAGGTCTCTAGAGGTAACTCTTACAAAGGTTAGGACCATTTTGACGTGGCTTTTTTTTCTGCACTGTCTTTAAATTAGAACAGATTCCTGCCACTACAAAGAAACCATCCAAAGCCGAAAGAAAGAAATTAAGTCTAGATAGAAGTGTAAAGCACTGAAATTTCCGTTTATTTAGCAAGCATGCATGGAAGTATCTAATAAGTTAAAATAATGTGCTGTAAAATATTTTATAAAAATTAGTCATAGTCCATGCATTCATTGTAATAAATAGTAATAAGCTCTCAGGGCTTGGCAATAAAAACACTTGACCTTGATTTAGTAAATAGCATTGGTCAACTGACCCATGGTAAGTGGCTCAGTTCCCAGCAACTTCAGAGTTATTCCACAGAAATGTTTAGGAAGTTTGATATAATTTAAAGACTTCTACCACAATTTTTTGAAAAACACATTACTTGCATTTGCCCTCAGCTAAGATCCCAAGATCCAGTATTCCCTTGGCTAAGTAAGACTCAGTGGATTAATGGTTGTTAAAGAAAAAAACCTGCTTTG